TCAAAAAATAATCTTGGTTTTAACAGCCGACGATGGGATAGTTCTCGTTAGACCGCTAACTTGCTAGGTTTTGGCATGCATGGAGTTCATTTCATTTTCATGATAATAGGGTGGAAATTTACCAGCTCCGAAATATGGCTATAAATAATAAACAGAGTCATGATTTTTCCTTATTAGTGAGATATGTAAGTGGACAAATGGTGGAGGACAAACCATCATAAAGATCCACGAGGGCTGAGAAAATGGTGTGAGGATCGGGTCGTGCAAAGGAAATGCCAAGTAGGAAAAAGGAATTAGGGAAAGAGTAGACCCCCGGAAAGGGCGGGGGGCAATGACACGTGGCGCCATTAAAAGGAGGAGATCTCATAATATGGTAACGTTAAGTTGTGATGGCATTGCCCACCTGGCTAACTGGGAAAGAAAGAATAGGGTAGGGAACATGGGCACGGGGGAATTAATGCAGCTGCATGCTTTTAATTTTTTCTTTTTCTTTATTTGTCTCCATATTTCAATGTTTTTTTTTTCCTTCTTCTTTATTTGTCTCCATATTTGAATGTCACACTCTTAGGTCCTAAGTCTCAACAACATCATGCTTCCTTATCTACATATCTCTATGTCTATATACATAGGAATGGATTTTAATGTAGAGCTGTGGGCTGTGGGTGGGATGTGATGTGGTGTGTCCCATTTTAAGGAGCTGTGAACTTTATTGAGTATATGAGATGTAAAGTCTCTATCTATATAGCTTAACTGATAATGGGGGATACGTGCTCTAAAGTTTGAATCATGGCCAAACATGTTTGCACTTGGATTGTTTCATTCGCAATTGCGGCCGGCTATGGTGTTTCTACTTTCTATTCATTCATTTGCTTTACTTTCTCATAGTTAAAAGAAAGTCTTTGTAATACAAAAAAAGATAACAAACAAGGTCATGTATAATTTTCGTGGATGAATGAGCTATCAGCCTGTACTATACAGATTAACCAGTAACAAATGAACCTCTACGTTGTTCTTATTATTGCCGACTTGCACACGGTGTGACCGAAAAAGATAATACGTTGTTAACGACTTGATTCTCAAAAGGTACGTAGGAGAAACAGACGACATACATGAGTTTGAGATCAATGACGCGAGATAGAGAAGATAAGGTTGACACTGGCAGTATAGTTCGCTGCCAGAAGTTTGACATTTGAAAAATTTTGTGATTGACATCGGCGATCAGAGCAGTGAATAGTGTGGAAGGTCTAGGAACAATGAGAGAAAGGGAGTTCTAGGAACTTAACTAGCAACAAACAAGCCTGTGGTCGTGGACACTAGTATTTTACGCTCTTCTCATTCTTCCTTTTTTCTCCCTCGATATTTCTCCAGTTCTTACTATTCTATAATATAAATCATCATAACCTGCACGACGGATATTCGTAATCTCGACCTAATTATCTAAGCAAAATTGTGTGTTAACTGTGTAAATCGAGGGTAGTGATGGGCATACAAAAAAATATATGAAAAGAGACATTTAGGAAATCAAATTAAATATAAAACCATGATTTAATCTAATTGACTAGCTTCTTCTCCATTTTAAAAAAATGTTGCGCATGGCATGTTATTATTCTTCTATTGTGTGCCAAAAGCCTAGCTAATCTGTCCTTTTGCTACACAAGTCACGGAGTTGTGTCGAAAAGATCATTAGATGTGTTTGTTGAATGAATTGTTTATCTTGCTTGGATAAGAGCCCTCTCTCTAGCTAGGGATCCATGTTTTAATTTCATAATCCCACACCATTGTAGTTATGTTGTACGTTAGATTTGACATGTGTGGCTCTCTCTCTACTTATAAACAAGAAACTAATTATTATGTATATCATCCTTAATTTAGTGATATATAAAATCAAGTTGAAAATGAACATCTATTAGATACCACTCACATTTAATAAAATAGCTAGGGGAAATGTACATATATATTTGTAAGTTTTCTAAGTCACTACTCCAGCCAGATAATAACAAATTGTTATAAATTACAATTACAGATAAACAAATGGTACCCATAAAAAACAGAGGGTTAATTTAATTAATTGTGATACTGCAAAGTTTTGTTTTTTTGGGGGACTTGCTCAATATTTCTTTATTAGTTATGCTACAAAGGAGCCGGAGCATCTTTTCAGTAACCAATTACGATCGATCGATCGATTGTGTACGCAAACTATTGACATTATTTCTTTATTCCTTTGAAAGGTATTTAATCCCCTTTGTTTTTATTTCCTCATAATGTACACGAAGTTTAAAAAAGAAATAATAATTCAATGTTTTGAATTCGGTTAAAACTTCACCCTCATCAGTTGTTTGTCTTTGGTCTAGATTCTGGAACTGGGGTTTGCTTTTCTAGACATTGATTTGTGTTTTTATAAGGAAAAGTAGACATTGTTTCAAGGTATTTCTTGGCCGTCTCACTATTCAACAGTGTACTTCACTTGACTTGAGTTGAGGCATAATTATACTTTCTCAATCTAATAATTAGTAACAGTTTTCTGGTTACAAAGGGCTGGTCACATAGAGGTACTAGCAGCTAGCTAGCTTCAAATATAGAAAAATGTTCATATAAATAACACATAGATAGCTTTAGAGAAGACTAGCAAGACAATTGTAGATGTATATTGAGAGGGTGAAACTTGCAATTGTATGTAACTAAAATTGACACTTTTTTGTTTGAGTGTGATTTATACTATTGTACATGCAGTCCAAATACAATTTCAGTAATAAGATAAGTATATGAAGTAATTAAAAATGTACATTGATAAAAGTGGGTTCCACGTGTATTTTTTACACAATTTCCAGTTTAAATGCACCGAATCAAACATTGTTTTCGCAAATAGATCTCACACAAACATATAGCATGCATATTAATTAAACAACCTGCAATTGATTCGAACAACATTAGCTTACAAATACATTACCCTTATGTCTAGCATAGTATGATTTTCATACCGATGTGTTTTCATTAAACTTGTGACGACATAGAGATAACATAAAAACTAGAAAACAAAAGTTTGCTCAGTTTGTCGCTCTAGAAAATGCTGAAAAATAAAAACACTAACATAAATTAACCGAGTTCCATTTTTTAGGGGATGAACACAATTTTTTAGTTTGAATGTAATCAATTTTTCATCGACTTCAAATTTATTAATAATGATATATTTTCATGTAAATAAAACACAATTTCAAGAATAGGAAAGTATGACTCAATTTATAAAAAAAATATTGATGTTGAAACTAAGAAAAAAGTTTGAAAATAATAAGGAAGTAGTGTGGCTAGTGACTTATGAGAGAAGTGGGGGAGGAGAAAAATAGATGGAAATAATGTTGGGAAAAAGGTTTTGAGTATGAGCTATGATCAGAAAATTGAGAGAAAATATGTAGAGAGTAGATAAAGTGGAATTCGATTCATTAATTATTTTTAACAAAATAATCATATAGTTGTTAGGAATTCCACAAGAAATAACTTCTGAAAACTGTTCGAAAGTCACTTAAAATAATTTCATCGACTCCTTTCTTGCTGAAAATACAACTACGTGCTAGGTTGCTAGCACTCAATTAGTCAACTCACTTCGATTACAAAGCTCTTTAGGCACATATTTCAGCAAGAAAAAGGGTTTTTCTCTTTATATAATGTTACTCTCACGACATGAGTTGACGAGAACCATGCTGAAGTCATATATATATAATCGTTCAGGAAAGACTCATCACCTACAATATCATGTTCCTAGTTCTAGATAGATTTCTCATAATCTCTATTATATATGTTTTCAACTCATGTTATCATAACAACATATGAAAATGAATCTAAACAAACTTTCAATTTGTTTAATAAAATTATCATGAGAAGTTGCTGAAAATCGAATGCATTCGCAACTATTATATTGTAACATTATAGTCCCATAATATCGCTGCATTCAGGGGCTGCAAGTGAGTCGAGCTCACCTGGGCTCGATTCGCTAACGAAATGAGCAGTGCTCGGCTTTTTTCTACTAACACCATGGTTTATGACTCGAACTCAACTAATTAGTGAGGTCATGAGCTCTACTCGAGTTGGGTCATACTGTTGAGCTAGCTCATAGCTCAAAACGAGCTAACTCACCAGTTGACCACAAAACAAGCCACCGAATCTAACCGTCTCACGAGCTCTACACGCCGAACAAAATATAGTTCACACTCGACGCGTTAGTAAACAAGTCGAGTTTAACTCGAGTTTTTTTTCGAGACGAATATCGAACCACGATTGACTCCATATTCCCAGTTTCCTTGTCATAAATTTTGGCAAGTAGCCATGGGGATGAGATTACCATGCGAGAATGGAGAGAGAGAAAGGGGAGAGAACGTGGAGCGCCGGAGGAGAGAGAAAGAACGAAAGAAAGAGAAAGAGGCGTAGGATTGGAGAGGGACCCTTCCACCGCCCATAAGGAGGTCATAAGCACGCAGTCTCCCTCCCTCCCTCTTCCTTTTCTTTTTCCCCCCCCAACCAAAAACCCGAACCCATAAGATTTCGATCCAACCCTAAAAACCTCCTCCTTCCATCCACCAACCCCAAAACCATTCCCAACCCATTAAAAAAAAAAAACTCCTCCCCATCTCTTTCCCCTTTTCCTCCCAAGCTTTCTCCTCCTCCTCCTTCTACTTCTCTCTGAACTCTCACCAACACATCTCTCTCACTCTGAAAGCATGATTTCATAATCCCCCTCCACCAGCAAAACCTCTACTCCATAGCTCCCCTCTTCTTCTAGCTAGCTACACCAAACCCCAACTTCAATCCCCGATCATCCAATTTCCCGCTCCAGAACCTCTCTCAGCTCAAGATCCAACCCACCCAAATTCAATCAGATGCTCCTCCTCCTCCCTTACTTTCCCATTCCCACCCCCAAAAAGCAGCTCTCTCTCTCTAATTAGCTTAGACCAAACCCAAATCGGTAATTTCCTTCCCAACTCACCAAAAAAAAAAAAAAGAGAAAAAGAATGGATCCGGTAACGGCCCACGGCCATTCCCTGCCACCGCCGTTCCACACCCGAGACTTCCAGCTCCACCACCAATTCTCCCAACAGCACCTCCACCAACAACAACAGCAGCAACACCACCAGCAGCAGCAGAATTCGGAGGACGAGCAGAGCGGCAGCAGCAGCGGCCTCCACAACAAATCCTCCCACAAGCGCGAACGAGACGACAACTCCAACAACTCAAACCCCAACGACTCCAGCAAGGATCTCATGGCCTCCGCCGCCGCCGCCGGAGGAGAAGGCGAGATCACCCGCCGCCCCCGCGGCCGCCCCGCCGGCTCCAAGAACAAGCCCAAGCCGCCCATCATCATCACCCGCGACAGCGCCAACGCCCTCCGGACCCACCTCATGGAGGTCGCCGACGGCTGCGACATCGTCGAGTCCGTCGCCACCTTCGCCCGCCGCCGGCAGCGGGGTGTCTGCATCATGAGCGGGACCGGCACCGTCACCAACGTCACCCTCCGCCAGCCGGCCTCCCCGGGGGCCGTCGTCACCCTCCACGGCCGATTCGAGATCCTCTCCCTCGCGGGCTCGTTCCTGCCGCCGCCGGCCCCGCCGGCGGCCACGGGGCTGACGATCTACCTCGCCGGAGGGCAGGGGCAGGTCGTCGGAGGGAGCGTGGTGGGGACGCTGACCGCCTCGGGACCCGTGGTGATCATGGCGGCGTCGTTTAGCAATGCCGCGTACGAGCGGCTGCCGCTCGAGGACGAGGACCCGCAGATGGCGGGTCAGGCCGGTCCGATTGGGTCTCCCGGCGGCGGCGGTGTGGGGTCCGCCGGGCCGCCACCTCAGCACCAGCAGCAACAGCAGCAGCAGCAGCAACAGCAGGTTTTGGGTGGGGGCGGGTCGGGCGGCGACCCGAGTGGGGCTCCGTTGTTTCACGGGTTGCCGCCGAATCTGCTCAATTCGATTCAATTGCCCGCCGACGCGTACTGGGGCGGCAACGGTGGTGGCGGCGGCGGTGGCGGGGGACGGCCTCCTTACTGATCGGGAGACGACGACGAATTTCTTAAAACGCTCTCGTGCTCTCGTTCCTGCTCGCGAGCGATGTAGATCGGTCAACCATCATCATCAGGGTGTGGAGTGGCTGACTTGAAAGAGAAGATTCGAGGTGATGAGGATGAAACGAAAGGGGAAGGAAAAAAAAAAGGTTTCTTAATGTAGCTAATTTAAGTAGCATTTCCCTCTTCTCTCCTTCTCTTAATTTGCTCACTTGTTGTGGTAGAAGAAGAGGGATTTTAATCGTTTTTCTTTTCTGGTATTTTTTTTGTTTTGATTTTGGAGGATTCATCAATTAGTTTCCCATTTCCCTAAACTTCTGCTAATTTTTCTCTGTTGATTGTTCTGACGATGATGATCATGAAGGGGTGGTGGTGGTGTTGTGTTTTTTTTTCTTATAATGTGCTCTCTTAATTAATTAGCTTGTTCATGCTTCTTCTTCTTCTACTACTACAATGTGCATTGTCATTTTGATTTGCTGATGGCTCCTGATTTCTTGTTGTAGTTTTACTTGTGTTTGTTGACAATTGTTAGGAAGAACGAGGGTAAATGCCTGCTGCTCACAAGCCTCTCGATAGCTCTTTCGATCTAGTTTGGTGTTGATTTTATATGTTACGTTAGTATCATTATGCTAGTTATGGTTATATATAGATAGATCTTGTTAACTATGAGTTAATCTAGTAGTACTATAAGGTAGTTAATTAGTCTCTTCTTCCTATCTTCCCCATCCATGAGAAACCAAAGAACACGAAAGCCAAGGGCATAGTTTATTAAACTTAGGATCAGTGTATCATTGTTGTTAGTCATCACATGAATGGGTAATTCGAAATCATTTCCCATATGTAGTCACTAAGCTAGAGAGCTCTAGCCATCCAAAGTAGTTTCGGTTTGATATTAATGACAGACTGACGCATCTTAGGAAAACATTGATACTAATTTTTACGTTTACTGATACATTGAATTGAATTGTCGCTATGCATAACTATGTCATTCATTTTTTTCCCCGCGATTTTCGATCTCAGCAGCATGTCGGTTATAACTTCCGCGCGCGCTGAGCACGGTCTTTTTAGTAATGGTATGGCTTTCATTTCACACCATGAGATGTAAGGTAGCTAGGAAAGCAAAAACACATGGGGGATGATGAGTTGGATGGATGGGTGGTGTATTGAACCTTAATTTGTTTTGGCCAGGAAGTTGGGACGATGAAGTTTGCCCCACCTTTTTTTTAAATGGTTTTTTTTTTTCTTTCTTTGTTTCTTGGGGTGATGTAGAGGAAGGAAATGGGGGGGAGGGTGGGTCGTGGGTCAGAGTGATTGAACATAATTGGAGTGGGAGAAAGTTGAGGAAGAGGGTCAAAGGGGAGGATTGGATTGGGAAGGTTTCAATAAAAGCTGGCCCAAACAAAAGGTGACGGTTTCAAGGAAGGCAAAGAAGGTGGTGGTGGTGGTATGAGCAAGCAATGAACCTATTTACGAGGCTGAGGGAAATGGCAATGGAAGGGAAGGAGAGGATTGAGGCCAGAGGAAGAGGAAACCAAAGGCAGGCAGGTTGAGCATAATAAAGCATTGAGGTATGGGCTTGAATTTGCTATGTCTCCTCTCTCTCTCTCTTTTTTTTCTAGGTGCTGGTGTGGGTTTTGTTTATGAATAAAAACAAAAACCATTTTGAGAATTTATATCTTGGGAGGGAGGATGAGGAAGGAAGGAAGGAAGGAGGGAGTTGGTGGGTACTGGAGTTCTGGTCTACACGTGCACTGCTCTGAACTAGCTCCTTTTCGAGGCAAACACCATAACACACACACATCCTAAAGCATATTTCTTTTAAATTTCTCCCATATATAATTCATAGGGTGATATTAATGTTGTTCAATCTGCACTTCACTTTCCTTTTTTGTTGTTTTGGATTCCACTTTCCCCCTATCCTCTTTTTTACCCCCTGGTCTCAACTCCCTGTTCCTTCCTTGCCTTTGTGGGGAACTGACAAAAGAAGAAGAAGAAGAAGAAGAGGCAGGGAAGCGGAGAAGATGGGGGAGCAGGTGAAACTTTGAGCTGATACAGACGACTTAGACCGGCCCTATGACTTGACTTATTATAAGAGTCAGTGAGTGAGATCAGAGAGAGAAGAGAGGTAGCTTGTGAATGTTGTTGAAATCTTTGCCCAAAACCCTTGTGTCAGATCTCTCTTTGTACTACTACATATGAAGTTTGGCATTCATTCCATTGCGCTGTGAAAACCCTAGCTCTTTTCATCTCCGGGCTTGTTTCTTTCTTTGATTCTACACAGCTACCTAGCTAGCTATTTTTGCACCTACTACTTTACTCGCCTAGTTAAAATTAAGTAGGCCCTTTGCCTGCCTCTGCATTCATACATAGGTAACGTGGAATGACAGATGTGGCAATGAAGCTAGCTACTCATGTGTGCAACATTATTATTGTTATCCATCATGAACTTTTGCTTAACAGGTGATTACTGCTAATGAAGGATCGTCCTTTTTTTTTTTTGCAAGAAAGGGTATTAAAGCTAGGGTTAGACCACTTCTTTGAACGGGGGAGGATTTCCCTCTCTTTCTGCACGTTTCCTGGGGTTGTGATGATGATAATTCGACCTAGCTGCTCTTGTTTCCCTTTTCTCGGGTTTGCGATCCAGGAAACCGACGAAATGCATATGCATGCATGCGGCTACAGTACTAGTACTATTTTCACGCTGGCCACAGATTCATCCTCAGACCTCAGTAAGTAATATATATCTAGAGAGAGAGAGAGAGAGAGAGAGGCTTTATATAAGGATATACCATGCATCCCCCTCTAAACAGTTGACATGACAGGGTGGACATACATATATATACTTACGGCTGCAGTGTGCTTAACAACATTCACATAATTTGATTTATTCGTTTCTTACGATAGAGTAAATACATCCAAACGAACACAAGCCGAGCGATTGGTAGAGGGAGATGACCACAAACGGCCAATATGATCGATCTAAAGCATAATCATGGAAGGAAAACCCTTACCACCCAGCATCCAAAAATTAAAGTCATATTGTTGATATGACTGGAATCAACGGTTCCACCTGTTATATAATCTAATTCTTTATCAGAATGGATTAGAGTTAGGTTATATTGGAGAAGTACAATAAGTATTTGTCATACTGTTTTCTAATTTGTAATCACCTTAAATAATATAGTGAAATCGCGGCTCTCTCCTACATGTGGATTAGCTGACACACGTTGTGTTAGTGAAACCACGTAAATCACAGTGCTCTTTTACTTTCTTGCTCATTGTTACCTTTCTTGTTATTGTCGATTGCCCCGATCTGTGCATCGTCGTCATAGTTCATACATTTGAAAGCTATGAAAAAGAATGGATATATGAATCATCAGGGGAAGGACGACAACGACACGGCAATGAAGCAATTCGAAACGAAATTGGATCACAAACCTAAGAACTTACTAGCCAGACATGACAAGTACAAATGTGGGATACATAAAATCGAATAGTGTTTGAGATTTTGTATCAATATATCCTTTGAATCTAAACGCTTAAAACTTTGGGAAAATGTCAAAGAAAAACCCAAACCGGAAATCCTTTGAATCTAGAAGCTTAAACTTTGGACGTTGGCCGGCTCCATTGTGAATATGATTCATCTAAAAGAGTAACGTACGTTAGGTTCGTTATGAGTTATGACCCATATTCACAAGCCCGTATAGTAATTATTAAGCTCCGAAATAATGAAAAGGGCATTTCAGACGAACCGGAAATCCGCTGCCAAAAACCATTTCTGACCTTAATAGTAACTTATTGCTGTTAAGATTTTCATTGACCAAAGATTATGATGATGATGGCTTAAGCTTTGCCTCTAATTTGTCACGTCGTGCTGCATTAATCAATCTAACTGCAGTCTGTGGAAAAGGCATTCATATAAACGTGAAAAGCTCTTTCTGCAAATCCTCTAGTAGGTCTCCGATGGCCAGCCGCTGCCAGGTAACGACCTTCAAAAAGGGAGGGCCTGACCCTATCACGCTGCATATCAAACTCCATGTTGTACTTCAGTTGACCAGCCAAAAGAAACGGAAAAGAAAACACGTGGAAAAAGAGCCCAAAACTCTGATCACATTTATTTCATATAATCCGATGGGCTTGAAAGTCCAATCTTCTAGGCCCTTATACATTGGGCCTTTGTATTTGTAAGGAATGGATCAACTCCCCAGTGAGAAGGGGGTAAGATCAGGTGACTAAGGGGGGTACCCTTAGTCACTTGGCTAAGTCGATCTGAGCCTTCCATGCTCATTAAAATCCTAAGGCTACAATTAATTCATTTTAAAGAAGGACAATATAGTAATTACATGTTTAATATTTATTTTTAATTATAAAATGAATATAAAAAAAATCAGCTCCGCGCCGCCTCCTTTCTCCGTCCAATTTCCGGCCCCGTCCCTTGCGCCGCCTCCGTCCAATTTTCGGGCAAAACTATTTCTGGGCAGGAGAATTCTTCTCCATCCGCCATTATTGCAGGGCAATTGCCCCAGGCTCTCTCTCCATCGGCCATTATCATTATTCCAGTGGAATTCAGAGAGAGAGAGAGAGAGAGAGAGAGAGAGAGAGAGAGAGAGAGAGAGAGAGAGAGAGAGAGAGAGAGAGAGAGAGAGAGAGAGAGAGAGAGAGAGAGAGAGAGAGCTTTTCCGGCGACGGCGGAGCAATTTTCCGGCGACCAGAGACGGTGGTGGATGGTTTTCCGACAACAGTATTTGAGTTCGTGATGTTTGTAATGTTTATATTACTATTTTGTATACATTGTAATGTTTGTAATGTTAGTAATGTTTGTTTGTCTAGTTTGTATACTTTATGTTATGATTTATACACTTTCTATTCATTGATTTGTATTTGTAACTTTTGTTATTCAAGTTTGTATACTTTTATGTTATGATTTGTAGACTTTGTATTCATTTGCTTGTAATACAAGTTTACCAATCTGTATTGTAAGTAGTGATATTCTGTACGTGTAGTATGCTTTGTACTGTTTAACATGTTTGTTTGTAATGTTTGTAATGTTTGTTTGCAATGTTTGTTATTTTGTAATGTTTGTAATGTTTGTTGGTTTCTTTTGTATTGTTTGTAATGTTTGTTATTTTTGTCCACATTTTTGTCAACCATGTTTGTAATGTTTTTTGCATCACAAATCAATACATATAAAGTATACAAATTATTAGTACTTACAATACAAAGCGAAACATACTAAGAATACAAGCAAAACATACTAAGAATACAAACTGTCAAAGAAAAACATACTAAGAGTACAAACTGTCAAAGAAAAACATACTAAGAGTACAAACTGTCAAAGAAAAACATACTAAGAGTACAAACTGTCAAAGAAAAACATACAAACCATACAGACATTTTGTACAAAAATACTAACAATACAAACTAATGTTACAAAACATACAAACTATACAAATCGTCGCCTCTCTCTCCTCACCATCGTCTCTCTCTCCTCTGTTTTCCGACGAGTAGATCTACTTTCTCTCTCCTCACCATCCGCCTCTCTCTCCTCACCATCCGCCTCTCTCTCCGCCATGGCTTTCTCTCTCTCTGGACATCGCAGCAGAAAAGGGAAGAGCCCTGGCTACAACACCCTTGTAAGAGCTCGGTACGGCGGGTGGCTGCTCTACACGGCCGCCTCCGCCGGCGATTTGAAATTCGTCGACGAATTGCTGGACAGAGAACCGTTTCTAGTGTTCGGCGAGGGAGAGTACGGCGTCACGGACATGTTCTACGCCGCCGCGAGGGGCGGGAACTCCGAGGTTTTCAGGGTTTTGCTCCGGTGCTCTGTTTCGCCGACGGGGGAGCTTTTCCGGCGACGGTTTCCATGGCTTTCTCTCTCTTTGGACATCGCAGCAGAAAAGGGAAGAGGAGGAGACGGTTGCAGAAGGGAGAAAAATCAATAATAATTAATAAAATAAAACTGGAAAATAGGAGTTAATAATATATTGATAATGCCAAAACTACCCTTCTCATTTAATATTAATTAATTGGTTTATCTGGACCATTAGATCAATCCAAGGGCTGAGGGGGCCTTAGTCAAGTGACTAAGGACCCCCCCCTTAGTCACCAGATCCGGACTCAGTGAGAAGATAACTTATTTGCCAAAACAAACTCGAAAAATGGCCCACCAAGAGTAGACCAAAACAGCAACATAATAGTAAATCAGCCCAGCCCAGCCCAGCCCATTATAGGCATAATAACTCCTTTTATCCTCCTCGACCTTCATCAAACTACAGTGAGTCCCAGCTTTTTCAGTTTTGCTTCCATGTAACTCTCGCTGTACTTGTCGATTGGAGTCACCAACGGCACCGTTTCAGCAATGGAGAAGCCATACTCTTCAAGCCCCTTATGGTCATTTGCAGCCTTGTTTGATATCAGCTTGATTGTGTTAACCCCCAAATCCTTGAGTATCTGCGCAATTGTATAGCAGTAGTTCCAAATTCGGTACCACGTAAGTTAGGGTCAATCGGAGAGATTGTGGGGGAGATACATATAGGGACTCGAATAATGTCGTATTAGTGATCTCCCTCGACTACTACCGGAATAAACAAGAAGTTTTATTGGCTAGCTGTATAGGGTTTACCTGTGCCACGATGGCGTACTCGTTATCGCCGATGTTGTCTCCTCCGTGTTTTTGGATATCATAGTTAGCAGGAAACTTGAACCCCAAGCTATTCTCTTTTCCTTTGTCGCCGCGGAGGTACACCAATACTCCTTGCTCGGCTTCCTCAATTTGCCTCATGGCATGCTCAAGATGACTTCCACACCCGCATATTGCAGACCCAAATATGTCGCCAGCAAGGCACTCGGGCTGTATCCTTACTAGCACATTTTCCCCGTCTCCAATTTCACCCTTAATTCATATACATATGATGAGCTTGTCAGAGCATGTTAATCACATTGTTGTCTATAATTGATACAATTAAAATACCCTATGATGATCATATTAATAAAAGGTATTAATAATCACAACCAAAGTAAATTAAAACTTTCTTACTTTCACCATAGCAATGTGCTCAACCCCATCCAATAGTGACTCGTAGCAATGTATTTTGAAGTTCCCCATTGTGGTGGGCATCCTTGCAGCCGCACTCAGCTTCACAGTTTCTTCTCTTTTCTTCAAATATCTGCAACATAATCAAAGCACAAAGTTAATTTCATGCTCTTACAGAATCGATCGTAGAAACACGATAACATACATTAATATTTTAAATTCGAACTGTCGAATCCGCGGGTTTCTAAAAAGTTGCAAAGACCAATAAATCGAATTACCTGATCATATCAATGATGGAAACAATCTTCAAGTCATGTTCTTTGGCAAACTCTTTCAACCTCGGCAATCTGGCCATGGAGCCATCATCATCCACAATCTCACTCAGCACCGCCACAGGTTCGAGTCCAGCTAGGATTGCCAGATCAGCAGAAGCCTCCGTGTGGCCCGGTCTAGCTAGCACCCCTCTCTTGGTATACTTGAGCGGGAAGATGTGACCTGGCCGATTGAAGTCTTCAGGCGTCGACTTCTCCGAGGCAAGTGCCAGGATCGTGGTTGCCCTGTCTTCAGCTGATACACCCGTTGTCGTTCCATGTTTGGCATCCTTCCAAAACGACAACAGCAAGTGACTAACATTCTAGCAAAATAAGGAAACCACTAGAACAACGTTGATTAAGTACAACATCATACATACCACTGTGATGGTGAATGAGGTGCAGAGGATTTCCTTGTTGAGCTTTGGTGGTACCATCAATGGCAATTCCAGCCTCTCCAGATCGTCTTCCTTCATGCTGACGCAGACGATCCCAGTGCCGTGCTTGACGATGAAAGCCAGAGCTTCAGGGGTGGCCTTTGATGCCGCCATTATTAGGTCTCCTTCGTTCTCCCTCCCTTCATCATCCACCACAATTACCATCTGCAACCATGTTCACTTGTTACTTTGTTCAATCCAACAGTTGTTAAGGATTGGAGTTACCAGTTTCTTTTATTTGAAGCCTCTGATACCATGTTGAAAATTGTTTATGAATGGTAATTAGTACTAACCTTGCCCTGGCGGATGTCCTCCACGGCCTCCTCGATGGAATTGAACCCATGAGTAGGAAGATCGAGATCATGGTGATTGTACGAATCAAGGTCATTGTTAGTGCTGGAGAAGAAACCATTACTACTCTTTGTGGAAGTTAGCTTGGGCTGTCGAAGCTGTTGGCGAATGTAGCCATCTCCAGAAGTCAACGAGGCTCTAGTTACAGTGGCAGCTGATCTGGAAGCTTTTCTAGCGGGGACCAAAGTAACAAATTCCCTGAATCTGTGAATGTGGGGAGAAAAAGAAGAAGTGAACATTATAAAAGCCAACACATAATCGAAGAACAGTAAAAGGAAAAGCAATAAGTAGGGGACGAGATTAACTGTGACTGTGGAGGAGCCAGAGGAAGGGAAGTGTGGAGATGGACAGATGAACTTATCGCCATAGTATTTCCTTCTTCTTGTGCCGGGATAATTAACTCTAGTAGTTGAAAGGATTGTCAGCAAATGATGATTTGGTGTAATGGTAACTCAAGGTAGATAGATGGATTCTTGTACAAAGGCAAGGAGGATATGGTATTTGTGTGGTCTCACTCTCTCTGCCTCTGTCCTTGATCTGTGACAGGTAATGCATTTATATAGGTATTGTTGGTAGGGAGTAGAAAGATTGATCACAGGCAGCATGGTCCTGCACATGCAAGGAAACAGTTGGATGATACAAACAAAGACTAGTGTGATATACTGAGATATCATTGTTATATTTCAACTGTCAATTATTTTCTGGATAATATTGATTATGTATATTTCTGGTAACACTCCACTGCTCACCAATTTTCCAAATTAGAACTGGTTGTTCAAAAGAAAACAGCGTTTATTCTTTTTCTACCAAAAAAAAAAAAAGAAAACAGCGTGGAACTTGTAGCAAATAGTTGCATGCTCTTCAGTCTTCACCACAAAAACCAAATTCCTGTCACAGTCCAGACAGGCCCAAAAAAGAGTTGGTGGGCTGGCCAACCAATTTTAGCATCCGAATTCTTGATTAAATTGGGAAAATTTTATAATCAAGGACAAATTAAAGCATGAAATTTGCTTCACGAAAATCGGCATGAATCAGGCAGTCCAATCAACTCTTCAGCTACTGGGTTGCATATCTGTTCTCATTAAGGAAGAAAATATGAACCAATTACACTAATAACGAAATCAACAATCTCGTTTGCCTATTTAGCCGTCTTGCAAAATCTCGTTTCATCACTTACCGGCAGTCGGAAAATGGGCGACGAAGGGGCGGAAAACAACAACAACAACAACTTGGACACGACGTCGTGGTCGGATTACATCGCCGAGCTGAAGATGCTGGGCCGAATAGCGGCGCCGATGATCCTCGTGGGGGCGTTACAGTACTTGCAGCAGACGGTGTCCATGGTCATCGTCGGCCACATCAGCCAGCTGGCATTGACCACCGTGGCGATCGCCACCGCGCTGACCAACGTCACCGGGTTCAGCGTCCTTTACGGCATGACCGGCGGGCTGTCCACGCTGTGCGGGCAGGCCTACGGGGCGGGCCAGTACCCGAAGCTCGGGACCTACACCTACAGCGGCGTCATCTCCCTGGTCCTGGTCTGCCCGCCCATCTGCCTGCTTTGGGCCTTCACGGCCCACCTTCTCCGGCTCACGGGCCAGGACCCGGTGGTCTCGCAGCGGGCCCGCGACTTCTCGCTCTGGTCCATCCCGGCCCTGGTCGGGACGGCGGTGGTGGGGCCCCTGACGCGGTTCCTGCAGGCCCAGAGCGTGGTGGTGCCCATGCTGCTGACGTCGGCCGCGGCGTTTGGGCTGCACGTGCTGATGAGCTGGATCCTGGCTTACAAAGTCGGGATGGGGGACGTCAGCGTGGCGGTGGCGTTCGGGCTGGCCACGTGGCTGAACGCGGCGGCGCTGGGGCTGTACGTGAAGTGTTCGGCCAAGTTTAAGGAGACACGTGCGCCGTTCACGTGGGGTGCCTTACGTGGCATCCCGGAGTTCTTCCAGCTCGGCGTCCCTGCTGCTGTTATGGTCTGGTAGGTTGGCGTTTAATATATGGTTATGTCAGGCACTGATTGTTGTCTGTTGATTGGCTTCTTTGCTGACGTGTTTTCTTTGGGATATGATTTACAGTCTGAAATGGTGGTCGATGGAAATATTGACTCTGCTTTCCGGCCATCTGCCCGATCCCCGGTTGGAGACATCGGTGCTCTCAGTGAGGTACATAGGTGCCTGATTTTTATATTAGGATTAGTTGGTTGACATCTAGAATATGTCGTATCGGATAAAACTGATATTTGAATCGAGTTTATTCGATATAAATTTGATTTCGAACTTGATTTAGCACCGAATCATGCATGTTGATTTTTCTCTCTACAGAACTTCATTGTAGTGTAATTTTTGCTATGAATGGTTCACAATCAATGCTAACGTAGTATCTTATGTTCGTTGTATGGATGAATTTAACAGCCTTACCATCACAACATTGCACTTGACAATCCCTCTGGGGTTAGGAGTTGCAGTAAGGTAAAATCTTTCCAATCCAACTCTCGAAATGATCATATCATAAATTCAAACATGATTGATGCTTTGATCTGATATACATTTAGTACTCGGGTGGCGAATGAGCTGGGAGCAGGGAACCCGAGATCGGCGAGGCTAGCAGTAGTTGTAGCAGTGTCCATTGCAGTAGTGGAAGCATCCATCGTCAGCATAGCTCTGTTCTGCGCAAGACATGTTGTGGGTTACGCTTTCAGCAGCGACCCACAAGTGGTGAGCCATATGTCGACTCTCATTCCTCTCATCTGCGTTTTCGTCGTCATGGACAGCCTCCAAGGCGTCCTCTCTGGTAATTTAACTAGTCCCTAAGCCATGGTATGGTAGAGCTGGACGACAGATTCGACTGGAACGAAATACCAGCAGCTAACATCTTGTTGCATGAATGCCAGGGACAGCAACAGGGTGCGGGTGGCAGAAAGTAGGAGTGTACATGAACTTGGGAGCGTTCTACTTGGTTGGGCTCCCACTGGGATGCTCCCTTGGATTTGCGACTCGTCTACAAGGGAATGGGTTCTGGATTGGGATAGTGGCAGGGTCTGTGGTTCAGGCATTGCTTCTCTCTGTCTTCACCTGTTTCTTGGACTGGAACAAGCAGGTAGACGAAACTACAGTTTTTCTTCCTTTCTCTCTTTTGTGTTCCCATGTCAAACTATTGTTAAGTTGGTAATAAAGCGAATGTGGTATTGCTATTGTTGTTTCAGGCAAGCAAGGCTAGGGAGAGGGTAACTACTGGTAGCAGCAGTCACTAACTTTTCTCGCCAGGATTCACGGTTGCCTACTATTATGCTATGACCTTTTTCCAGTAACGTTCTCAGAGAACCAAACTGAACTAGCAGGTTACTGGTATTTAACTAGGTTTCATTTTCCTCTCACAATGATTGAATTCGGAGGATTGTAGGAAGAAATCGGCAAGAGGTGATTATAACTAAAGGCAAGAGCAATCGAGATACTACAATGGGTAGTTAACACCAGAGATAACCCTTTTCTCATATCTTCCATGCAGTTGGTAATGACTGGTCGTTTGGATGTGGAAATGTAATGCAGTAATTGGACCCAATTACCACATAATGCAGTAATTGGGTTAAAAACCCACGTTTGGGAGAGCAAAAATGGTATGGAAATTGGACCATGGAAATTGGTTTCAATTACCACATTCATGGTAATTGAGAATACTACACCTCCCCCTAGTAATTTGACATTACCACGTTTTCTTACTTCTTTTTCCAAATTCCACACCATCAATTCCCACAAAACTAAACTCTATCCAAATGTGAATTTTTTTTTCAATCTCCACAAATCAATTCCTTGATTTTGTAAAACATGGAAATTGAGACAAATTCCAACGTTTTCAAATTTCCACATCCAAACGACGTATTAACCTAATACTACACCCATATACAAAAGCCACATTAACGTTCATACTATGCACAAAGCCACAAACTGTACTGTTCACTCTAGGTAGATGAGATTTCTTAAACAAATCACAAGAAAACTAATAAGAAAAAGCGAGCAAGGAGCTTTCCTATATACTTAAATGAAATAATCTGCCTGTCCAATCAAGACCTAAGAAGACCAACAATAGCAAAAGTAAATAAATAAAGAGTAAAGCCTAACCTAGCCGCCTCATTTCTGCTTGAAAACTGTGACTGCTGGTTAGGGTTCTATGGGCAAGAGACCTTATGTCTTCCCGGGGACAGTCTCGCGAGATGCGAACCATTTCCCAAACAGCACCTCCATTGATCATGTCTCTCGAATTCGCTTCTGTAAACAATCCAGTTTCCAACATATTTAAATCTCCATAACACTGATCTGTGCTGAAGATCGGGGAAATGAAAGAAAAATGTGTTTGACACTTACCATGCTGTGCTAAGTGACACAATGCAAGTTCGATGTGGCGCCTAACTGAAGCGGCTTCGTTGTTAGCATTTTGTACGATCCATGGAAGTGCTCCGTCTTCTATCAGAAGGGATCTTCCTGCCTTAACTCCTGCTACGACATGTGAATTAATTACATAGGCAGCCTTCTACAAGATATGGTTTCACAATATACAGCTATACAACAGAGTGTGAAGTATCCTTGCAAAGTTCATTACCTTGAGCAGATGCCCTTGATTCACATTTGGCGAAATTAGCAATACCCCTGGCAACTTGTGAAAGAACATCTGGATGCCGGCATCTCACCATTCCAAGCAAGGCCTTGATACCACCTTCACCTCTCAACTTCATTTGCAATTTATCTGGATCATCAAACATAATAGTGCAACAAGTTCAAATAAAAGAACCCAAAAAATTACCACTATTCAGAAAGCCAGAGCAGATTTCTACCGTTGCCACAAAGGTTGGCGATGGCTCCAGCTACCATGCGAAGTGTTTGAGGATCCTCTGCACTGGAAGCGGTATTTGATAACAAGCGGACACCACCTTGAGCCATTATCAACTCCTGGTTGGTTTCTGCTTGTAAAAAGCTCAAAAGTGTTAACAATGGAGTATGTGGAGAAAGGGCATCTGGAAAAACAATTTGATAGAATTCTGATTCAGAAGAACTTACCACTCATTGCAAGATTAGCGATGGCGCCTGCTGCCACTCGGTGTATGGTCTCGTCTTCTGAACTTATGAGAAGCTTTAACAAAGATGTTAGGCCACCAGCTTCCACGATCTTCTCTTGGTTCGCTTCTGCTTTTATTAGTGCAAAACTCTCCATCAGTACAAGCACATAAATTAACAGAGAAATTACAACAGCATTACAAACTGGTGACATGGCAATTCCTTCTATGATACCATGTTTAATGATTTCAGCTCGAAGGTTGATGAGTACAAAAATAGAGTCGTATCGTAAAAATTGCAGCAAATCCATGAACACTGAATTGAATCAGCAAAAAACCAGAACACCTGTCCTAAGCATTCTTTGCGTTTCCATTTTAAAATAGTGAAGAAACAAACTAATTCACTCAAAATATGAAGACTGTTATTAATCGGTCATTTACTGCACTACCATGTATCAATAATGTATTCCCTAGTCGTTTGGGTCCGTAATTCCTAGTCAAGAAGCAAACAATCCCTCAAGATGAGAGAAGAAAGTGTGAGAGGACAAAGATACCTTCAGCCGCAAGATTTGCGACCACTTTCACTGCATGTATTCGAACATCAGCATCTTCCGCTTCAAGCAACGACAATATCTTGTGAAGTCCCACTTAAACAAATAGATTATGGCTTGGTAAGTAAACAAGTCAAGAAGATCCATAGTACTATCAAAGAACACAAGTAATACCAAGTGGCTAGGTATATGACAATCACCTTGCTCAAAGAGTTTAGCTACTGACTCTTTATCTCCCGTTTCTGAATTGTCACTCTGTGGTTGCCTGGGTTGATGCAATAAAGAGTCTAAACCAGAAAGAACTTCCTCTGAACCACCCGAGTCAAGCTGCCTTCTTGTCTAAGAGAATCAAATGTCAATCAAGCGAAAATTTCATCCAATCTCATATGAAACATGTTCAAGTTCAAAATCTACAACCAACTGCTGTTTATGGTTATTTCGAAATCTCACCTCGTCAGCCTCTACACTCAGTTGAAGCAAGTGACTCTGCAGCTTTCCTATTTCCATTTCAAGTTTTTCTTTTTGGTGAGCTTCATCGTCAAGCATCTTGCGAAGCTTTACTATCTCGGAACTTTGTAAGGCCTGGAATAGAAAAGCGGATGGCTTGAAGGTTTCACAAAATCGTTAAGGAAAATTTAAGGCTACAGAAATGGTCCACACTTACCTCTGACCTCCTCGATTCAGCCAACTGAGTCTTGAGAGTCCAGACTTCTTCTTCAACAGCCTTCCTGTGTGCAGTTTCCTTCTCCAGAAGCTTTTTCATCTCAGGATTCTCCTCCATGGGAGCAACCTTTGACTCCTATAAACCAATACAAATACAAGCACTGAAGAAGCTGAGTTGCTGCGCCACAATTTTGGGCAGAAAATCCAGTTTGAATGAGTAATAAACGCATCTTTATGTAAAGCTCTAACTTGCACAGTGTCCATAATTTTAACCATCATGCATTGTATGCAATTCCCTCGCACCCGTAAATTCAGCTTTGAAATGTGGGTGGGTATGACAAGGGAGAAGTAACGATGCATCTGTACGAATTTTCTTTTTACTGCTATAACAAGAATTGCTTATCATTAACCACTGCAATGAGATAACACCAGCAAACTGCTGATCCAAGCACATACATAAACACAGGTAAAAGAAACATGCCATTAAAACTCATTTATTATGCATTTGGTTTCCTCGACTACGGAATGCACGGCATATACTAGTGTATATGGTGGGAATCAAAGGCCAGCAACAAAATTCTATACTAGTTCTTAGAGTTATACACCACAAGATCCTGCTATGAACTTACCTTTGCATTAGGTAGGACATTGGAACCAACATCTTTGTGTCGAAGCTTATTTTCATCATTCACACTTTTTCTTTGATTCATTATCCATTTCTCCTCTAGCTTTTTGATTGATTCCAAATACTCTTTCTGATATTTTGATCGTTCCTTCTGAAAACAGAAAACATAACAAGGCCAGTAAAGAACCAATGGAGATGATCCAAGTCAAAGGCAATACAACATGTTGATCGGAAGGTCACACGGGAGTGCACAAATGCAACAGATATATTGACTGTTATGAAAAACTTGCCTCCAATGCTTGCACATAATTTCTTTCCGCGTCAGAAAGTTGTCTTTCTGCTTCTGCAGTTAATCTCTCGATTTCATCCTCGAATATCTTTTGCTGCCTTTCATGTTCCGCAATAAGTTTGTCTAACTGTATATCTAATCTTCTAGACAAGCTTTTGTAATCAAATTCCTCTTTCAATTTCAGCATGTTCTCAACCTTCATTGCCTGCAAGAGACACCAAAACAAGGGAACATCATGACACCCTCATTGCATTCAGCTTCCATGTTTATAATGCTGAAAATCAAGCAGTTGAGTAGCCACTTTATTACCCTTTGACCAAACATTATGGTACTTGCTGTCTCGCCACGATGACGAGGGGAAGGACCAACTGTGATCACAAGAGAAGTCCGTGCCGTACCTGGTGAAGGTTGCCCAGTTGAGCAACAAAAGGTTCCATTTAAAAAGTCTCTGACCCAAAATTCTTAAGAACAAATTACCAAAATGATGTCATGGAAACATGTAGTTGCTGGAGTTAAAAATGGGGTACTGTGCAACATGCAAAAGTGGCTCTAGTTCTCTGCATAATGGCATCTGTGTAGGACTTTTGAAATCCAGTAAGCATTAGATAGCTCCCTTCTTAACCAGAATAATATACAAAGGATAAATGTAATGAAGCTGGGTTTTAAAAGATTCCTTGACCATTTTTCTTCTCAAACACTAAAACACTGCACATCGAATAGCAGTGCCAATATTGTGGCCTATGGAGCCCTCACACTTGTATTTGGTTTGGTTAATACGTCGGAAGTATTAAAGCAGCATGACCAAGTATCCCCTACTGCAATCGTTGCACCACGGCACAAACTAGACCACACATCAACTTGAGCTAGCAAGAACCTCTTACACGGTAGCTTTGACAATCGCACATAAAAAGATCCTACCTCCAAATGAATCTCGAAGCAACCTTGTAAGCTTTGAATCACGAACAGGAATATGCGGACTATTCTCTGCCAATGCATTAATGCACTTCCCAAGTGCACTCAGAGAAAGATTTATAGATTTTGCTTCCTCAAGTGTATGCCCTTCACTGCCTGCAATAATGAAATGAACGGGGCACACTTCCGTGATGACAGAGCATTAACATATATATGCAAACAGTAACCCAAGAGAAGCTAAAGGAAGAATGAATGGCTAAGAAGAACAAACTTCCGCATGGTCCACACAATGGATGACATTTAAAATAAATAACCTAAGGCAAAAAAGAAAAGGTTCATAGTGTGGCTAACCTCAGAAGAGGATTCAGCATGCAATGTACCTGATTTATGAATTCGCTCTGAACCTGCAAGATCAACTACAACTAGCTTTGCTTTGCGAACAACAGAAGGCTTTAGGCTTTTAACCGTCTGCAAGCTGCTACTGTTTTCGCTTGAAACGGCCGAATCCTTTCCCTTGACAAACCTCCTCAAATTTACCTATTAACATACAGTTTATTACAAATCCATGAAATAAATAAAGCATTAAGTTAATGCAGAAGAGATACTCCATGTAATACATCAAGCAGTTCACAGCACGTAAAAGATCATTGAAAGTTGGAAGAAAAAACAATCAATATTACCATCAGAATAGCATGACTACGTGAAGATTCAGTATTCAATTTTGTATTTGCTGCAAAGCGGTGGTCTTCTCCTAACTTTAGAATCTCCAAAAAGCTATGATGATCCCTTATCTCCACCTGAGTAGCTCCGGGCAATGAAACATCCCCAGTTTTGTGGTCTTCCACAATGGAAATATTATCATTAGTAGGATCAAGAAGATCCTGTATAGTCTCCATATACAGCTGCAAGGGAAATAGGTTAATCAATAATGAGATTCTGTCAACAGATTATGTACAAGACAGTAATTACCAAGGAGGCTTAATACAACCATGTCAACTTAATTTCGAAGCCACCAACCTGCATATACGAGACTGAGATAGAATCAGTCTCCAAAGAGACGCCTGCTAGTATATCCTCCATAGCACGAACCATTATGCCACGAGCAGCCATGTCCTCATCGCCAAGCTGCCCAACGGTATATGTTTTCCCTGTCCCGGTCTGCCCATATGCCATAACGGTCCCATTATATCCATCCAAGACGCTCTGCAAAGCCATCCATTCACGTCATTCACAGTCAGAGACATGGAGGCTAATAAAGCACGAACTACAAATGCAAGTATGAAATACCAGATAACGCATACATAAGGATCAATCATCTTATTACACTAAGCACGGAGTAAGAAGTATGCCGAGCAGAACATCACAGGAACATTCAATTATTACCATCTTCTGTCCAAATCAGTCACAATCTAAGTTTGGTGACATATGATTGAACCCCAATTATGCAAAGATAGGACGGTTGGGTCAGCTCTCCCAAAAAGCAAGAATTTGGTACCCGAAAAGCTTTGAAAAGTTCACTTATCAAGCAAACATCCCACAATATCACAACTGCAGCATTTTGCAAGCAACCCCCAACCTCTCAACCTCCACTCCACCGTAAGTTCATTCTAGTACAGAACCCAAAATACGTCTTTCATGGGTTTCGGAGAACTTCATTCACAAAATGACAATCTCATTGTAGCAGTCGGATTCGGCTAGGATCCGTCAATTCATTACAGAGTCGGAGTTTCACGTGACGACAATTGGAAACGACGAAGGAAATAAATATAAAAAGAGAGACAGAGGAAGAAGTTACTTTTTGTTGTTTTCTCAATTACCTCAACGACGGGTTTCGCCACAACCTCGTAAACGCGTTTCTGGGAAGCAAATTCAGTGAGCACCTCATCGAACTCGTAAGTGTCGGAATCCCAATTGTTCTTCCGAAGCTTCAGCCTCTTCAACTAAAAAATTAGAAACATAACATAATTTGGTAAAAACGAAGAAGGAAAGATCAGAAATGGGTTCAAAGTTTATTGATCAACTACGGAAGAAAATACCTCAGGCTGTAACTCGACGCAGTCGGCGAAATCAGCGTCGGCGACCATTTCCTCTGCATTCCGCGGCCGTAGCCTCACCGCCACTCTGACTCTTCCGGGAACTAAATTAAACACCAGCAATCCCACAACACAGAAAGAGAAGAAGAAGCAGAAAAAGGGTATTAAAAAGGAGATTCGGCAGTGGAATCAGGGAGAGCACCAGAGCGGACCAACCTCCGGCATCATCCTTGGAAGAAGAGGAAGCAGCTCCTCCGCCGCCGAGGGAACCGGGGGCGCTCTTCCGGACCCCGGTCTTGGACTTGACGGAGGAGTTCTTGGGTAAGTTTCGGGCGTTGGCGGCGCCGCCATTTCGGTAATTGGAAGTAGCAGTTGTAGTCCCGAAGGCCGAGGTCGCCATAGCAGCTAAGTCAAGAGTGAGACTGTGAGAGCAGCGGGAGAGATCAGAAAGAGAGAAAGCGACAGTAGCAGCGAGTGGAATTCCGGTGAGAGGGAGAGTTCGTGAGAATTGAGAGGGAAGGAAGGTGGGGAAGAAGAAGAAGAAGAAGAAGAAGAATAGGATCGTGTGAGATGTGGGGCGAGATTAAATCGGAGGAGGGGCAAAGGGAGAGATGAGAGTGGAGAGGGCGGACCTTTGCTTTCTGACATTTTTACATTATATTTATTTTATTATTAAATTGGTAATCATAATCATAATAGTATCTTATATGTGTTTGTGGATTTTGAATAATTAAGATTTAATCAAATCTTAAAGGTGGAGTGGGGTCGTGGGTGGTATGTTCAAATTGATTCGTGGGCTCGCTATGTTTGGCGGTAAGTAACTCAATCCTAATTCCATCAACCGTTAATGACATAATGATGTGAGAAATATAAATTTTCTCTTGGGATTATTTTTATTTTATACTATTTTATAATTTAAATTTTTACAGAAAATTATATTAATTGTTTTTTTCAAAATGACATTCACTTTGATATTTTTTTAATAAGAAATTGAGAAATATATTATTAGTTTATAGTATGGTGGTAATATTTGGTAGTACATAAGATTATATCAGTGGTATGAGAGTGAGTCATGGTAGTATGAATATATCATATTATATAATGATTGTATACATGATAGCAAGAACATAATAATCATCTTTTATAACATTTAATCACCATCTACCAATAGTTACCGCCCTGTACTCACAATGGCTCACGATAAAATCTTCCTTATGTGCAACATTTTTTAAAATTCGAGTTAGAAACGAAAGTGATACTAAATGGTATCAAGTGGTACAAAGGTGGTAACGAGTGATAATGGGTCGTACGATTTTTTTTCCTCAAAATATGTTGAGATGGATATCATTTTATAGATTTCAATGTACATGTTCCATATACGCAAAAAAAAAATCAAACTGAAGATACAAGTCAACTAAAAAATAAAGAAAATAAGATATCTTTTCATTTCACTCATTAGATATGACCACGCTCAAAATCAAAAGGTCATATCTCATTATTCATTAGTGCCATAACCTATACACCCATCTCATGCTAGTGCATGTAGGACGGGGCGAGACAGTGCAAAAGTGGTGTGCATATGAACATGCCTCGTCCCATGCTACTACATATATATGTATTAAACGCCCAACTCAAATTATATCAGATAAAACTTGATAGGACGGATTCAAATTGTCATAGTTATAACGGACTTCAACTTACTTGAGTCAAAACACATCAAACTTTACTGTGATAGGGTACGCAGGAGATGGTTTGAAAAGTACTATTATATGTTTTCTGTTTGACATATGAATGAATGAATGAATGAATGACTTGTATAATAAGGCATTGATAGGTGATGGTCCATTTTGTCTTTATTGAACTTAATACACCGCTTAATCCAGAGGTTACCAGGCAATTAGGAAGCAGCTGGAGCTGGTTGTTGTTGGAAATGACGGGATCTTCCCCCCTCTTGCTCCTTCCCCAGTCCCTACCATGCGTTGGACTATAGAGGACTCATTCTTTTTCTTTTTATTTAGCGGAGTTCAGAGGGCTAAATGGTAATAGAATATCTGAATTACTAAATGTCGTCCTTAAAATTGCTAATGGTCGCCCTAACTCTAATGATGAATGACTTATATACCTCAATAAAATTTCAAAATTTAAACAAACCAAACAATCCCTAACTTCTCAAACCGAACCCCTCATATGCCTTCTTCGCGAATCCCTCTCGACGCACCAATCCGTCGACGCCTTTCCCGCCGTCGTCGTCGCCCGTTCTCTACCGAAATTTAAAAAAAAAACGCTCAACCTAAAGCAAGTTACGGTTGGTCCATGGTGCAACCGCAAGTGAGGTGCGGTTGGCCCATGGTGCAACCACAAATGAGCCGAGGTTCCTTTTATTTCGTTTTTTTCCCCAATTTTTGGAGTGAACTTTACCGATTCAGAGTCGCTAATCATAATCCAGACATCATATCGACGATTCCAACTCCAGAATGACGATGATGGATTCTCTCTTTTGAATAATGTTTTGTTTTCTTTACTAAGTGGTTTATTTGCTAAAGGGTAAGTAAAGAAGCTAAAAGGTTAAATTTGTAACTTTGATGTTTTTTAGGGCGACATTTAACAATTTTAAGGGCGACATTTAGCAACTCCCAAAAATATGTATGACTCGAAGCGTCTGCGTCAATCGATTCGGCTCCTTTGTTGTTTTTTATTTAATTTTGGTCCTGACGATGTCTGTCATGTGAATATTTGATCTTTGATTCCTGATTAATTCAAGCAAGTTATTGGCCAAAAACAAATGTAATTATCCAAATTCAATTAAAATGATATTCATTATCATGCATATACATCATGATGTTTTCGATTTGAACTAGTTCTATAACAATAATTATGCTTTATGCATACATTTATGGGGATGTGAGAGAGCATCAGCATCACCCTTTCAGCCAAGCAAAATGAGCATGATAATTAATCCACACTCATATACACCGTTTCCTCCCAGAAGGAACTCCAACATGCCACAGTTCATGAAAATATTAATAGGATGAGACGAGGGAGGGAAGGACAAGTACCAAAACATAATAATAATATTCATGGTGTTGAAAGAAACTAGTCAATTTTCAGCTTCCACGACAATGACATGATAAATATAATGAAGCGCCATTACTCCAACAAAAGAAGAAGAAGAAGAAGAAGAAAAAAAGGACAATGAGATGTGGCCAAGGCTTCCTATGCAATCAAATCATTCACTGGAATGAAGGAGTTAATAAGGCCACCTATGACCAATCCATACATGCATTTCCCAAACCAACTCCCCATTCCTTCCCTGCCATGCCATCTCTCCATTCATTGACCAATATAATAACCAAACAAGAGGTGATTCTCAAATAAGGCCATTCTTCTAGGGTTTTGATTAGGAACATACATACTGGACATTTTTAATAAGGCCATTCTTTTGTTCACGTTCATCTTGTTACCAACAGAATAGACCACCATATATGGCTGGTTTCTTTTGCAACAATGATATTGTCGCTCAGGGATTGGTTTTCCTAGTATAGACAATGACGAATGATCATTATCAAATATTTTCCCTTTCGGCATATGTATAGTGGCGGAGTGAGGAATTTGAATGAGAGGGGCTGACTTGAATCGTGATAATAAGGGGAGGAGGGGCTAAAGCCTTATTGACTATTATATATTCTAAATTTGTTACAATTTTTACATGTAATTTTACCTGTATTTTACATTTTAGGGGGCTATAGCCCGTCCTCCGGTGTAAAAGCAAAGCATATTGCTAGAAATAAAAAGGCAAAATACACCTATATAGCCATAACTATCCACTTTTTGCCAACAATAGTCACTTTTTAAAAAATACACAGAAATAGCCATTCCGTAAAAAATTTAACGGACAAATTGTGAATGCTGACTGGACTAACGGTTATGGTTGACATGGCAAGTTTTGGTAAAAACTGACCAGGTGGAAAATTAGCTATTTTTATTTAAATAAAATAAAAAAGAAACACAAAAAGGAACGAAAGGTCTTCTCCTTCAACAGACCCCCTCATCTTCTCTTCACCGACAAAACCCTCCACCCACCATTGTTTCCGATCAACAGAGCCCCTCCAATCGACGCACCCTTTGGCCGGAGACCCTTCCTTCCTGTAGAGCATGCTTCCGGCGTCCAATCCACATCATTTCACCCGTTCATCCCCAATCTTCGACAAGAATCCTTCCAGAAAATCATTCAAGAGACCACAAGAGCCTCGAGTTCCACCGCCGTCATCTACAACGACCCATTCTGTTCTCCGACCTCACCGCCTTGATCGATTCGGGAAGGAAAGGAGACGAAGCGGCTAAGAAGTGAGAAAAAGATTTTTTTCAATTTGATTCTAGGGATTTGTTCTATTTCTTGGATTTGATTTACTCGCAAAGGGTTTTTCAGTGGGGTTTCGTCGATTTGATCCTCTTGGTCTTGCTTCGGAAAGAATCAAAAAGAGTTCTTAGAATCATCTCGATAGCTAGTCACCACAAAAAGAGGTCTTAGATTCATCTCTTCCGTGGAATTGGAAAAACAGAGCAACGACAGCTCATCACCACAAAAGGACCCAGGAATCCGGCCGGAGAATCAGGAGCAAGGTTTGTTGGAGTCATCTCGACGCACTGCTTATTCGCCTGAACGAGATCTAAGCTCAGCACTCAGCAGCCCGTCACCATCGCCGCTTTTAGGAGATGGGATTAGAGTTTTTTTGGGTGAGTTTTAGTTGTCAGCGGTGGTGGCGTAGAGATAAATGATATATTTTTTTTATTTAAAATGTGACGTTGCATCGATGTGGTATGGAGTGATGAGGTGGACATGAAGTGTCGTTTATGTGGCATCTACGTCAGTTTAGCGTCCACTTAATTGACGGTGTTAAAGTATTTAACATAAATGGCTAAATTTGTCAAATAAGTTTTAAAATTATGGCTATATCTGTGTATTTTTCAAAAAGTGGTTATTATTTTCACAAACTCGATAGTTGTGGCTATGCATGTGTATTTTGCCAAATAAAAATGGTATCACGATCTAACAATAAATAGGCAAATTCTGGTTAGTAACGTTTTGAGTTTTGACCAAAGTGGCTTAATATTTGAAGGCAATAAAAACTACCAGAATGTGAACCAGATGCTAAGAAATATACACTCAGAACCTTTTCCGCCAATCTGTTACGGCGATAGGTGTCCGAGTCCCTTCGTAATTAAAGAAAGAAAAAGGGTTTGAAAGGATGAGGAATTTTACAATGCTATATAGTATTGATTTTATAGGTTTTTGCCTTTATGGAACAACTTGAAATTGTACATTTAACGTTATGGTACAACTTCAGATTGTACCTATATTTTTTTACAAATTCTTTTATGGTACAACTTCAAGTTGTAAAGTTGTACCATAACATAATGATACAAATTTTTTTACGGTACAATCTAAACTTATACATTTAATGTTATGGTACAACTTCGGTTGTAAATTAACGGACCAATTTGTAAAAGTATAAATCACAATGCACCAATTTTGAAAAGAATTCGGCAAAAGCACCACAAGGCCGGACCAGCCGACCAGGTAAAGGTGCTTACGGATGAAAGAACGAACGAAGAAAATAAAGGGAGAAAGTAAACGCAACATCATTGATCTTGCCACAAACATTTCGAATTCAAACACCAATGCCCCAGAAAGAACAGCCCCAAAAATAAGTGGCAAGCCTAACAAGTAAGAATCCATGTCTTGATTCTTGTACACGTTTCACTCATGAAAAAACCTACAAAATTTGAGTAATCGTTCTTACATAAATGAAAAAAAAGGGACATTATTTCCCATCTATAATAGATACGCATGAGCGAAAAATACAATCTTTTTTTCTCATATTTACATTTTGTATACATTCGCTCTAGTGACATATTTCAAATAAGGACAACATATTTGTTGCGGATATTAATTATTTAGTCACCAAGTAATTAATTTCTTGTCCTTCAAGTCCCTTGTTTCTTTGTCCTTGTAAAAAAAGGAAACTTGGTTCTCGTTAGGGTTTTAACCCTATTCTATCTCTACATAAGACTTAGCTACGAACCTGTCGTAAGCAAGCCGTCACAATGTAATCTCCAATAAAATCGTCTGTTGTGAGCTCTTTCGAGCTCATCGTGGATTAGTCATGTTCACGTCGAACAGAGATACCACATAAAACCTGTCGTAAGCAAGCTTCATAGTTCATAATGTCATCTACTCATCTTGCATATATGATAGTTCAAAGTATCACTATTATTATTTTTTTTACTCAATAAATTACAATTCTACAGTTACTTTCATGATTTATAAGTATTTTTCTTGTACCGTATAATGATTTATTTTTCTTAATTTGACTAATGTATTAGTATTGGATTTTTTTCATTCAAATTCAACCAACCTCGTAACTTCGTATCAACTCTCTAATACGAAGTGTTTTCCACACTAAAAAAAAAACTTAACATGAACTTGAAGAGGAATTTTACAATGCTATATAGCAGTGGTGCTATAGGTTTTTACCTTTATGGTACAACTTGAAATTGTACATTTAATGTTATGGTACAACTTAAGATTGTACCTACACTTTTTGTACAAATTCTTTTATGGTACAACTTAAACGTGTACCTTATGTGATGATACAACTTCAAGTTGTAAAGTTGTACCATAACATAATGATACAAATTCCTTTATGGTACAATCTAAACTTATACATTTAATGTTATGGTACAACTTCAAGTTGTACATTAAACCACCAATACTATATAGCATAGTAGAAGTGCTCGAACTTCAAATGTCTAACGAACAATTAAATTAATAATACAGATCAAAACCAAAAAAAATTAATAATACAGATCTCCCTCCCCAAGACCATCTACCCTTGTTTTCAGGGAAATTTGTGGGGCAGGAGAATGTCCTCTAATACTTGGCGTTTCTAGGAAACACAATGAGTTGGACGATTATGAAGACAGAAGAGGACGGGAGGCCTATAAACTAGCCAAGCTAGGACGGTGGGAAGGTCCAGTTTCACCCTCCAAATGGTCGGAGGTTCCAATCACCGAACCCTAATCAATTTTGCCCCCTACCGGGAACTTAATCGCAACGCTGAAGAACAACCCCTAATATATATATGGCACATGATTTTACTCCTCAACTTGCCCTCTCTCGCCACATATGTGTATACTGAGGAATATTAAAGTTGCTGGGACGTCCCTTTTGTAGGGTATGGTACCCCTACACCTCTTATAAGAATGAACTTCGTTGTGCAAATCTCCCCCACACAAACCAAATCATGACTTGGACAAAAGCTGGATGCATTGACTGCAGGGAAGAAAGCCTCCTCAAAAGGAAGAGAAGGACCGACGCGAGAGCGAGACTGTGTTGTTGGTTTTGCTTTTTATCTACTGTTCTCCATTACGTTGTGCTTTGCAGTCTTGGCTTTCCCTTTTTTAATGGTCTAGTGGGCCAAAAAAGGAGCCCATATGATGGCCCAACCAAGAAAAGATGTACTGTCCTGTGACTTGCGAGTTGCGAGTTGTGACTGAGGAATCCGATCCTAAGAAGAACACGCATAGAGATTAGAGGGAGCAAGTGACGCAAGAAGGCCCTTACGGTTTGGCTAGATGTTCAGACTTGACTATATTTGAATCGGATGATGGAGCAAGTCGGCGCAACGAACGAACGAACGACGAAGGATCTCCTACCTCTTAGCCAAACCGTAAGGCTGACCGAGTCTGTGCAAGCAAATGACGAAGGCGTTCAACCCTTACACTGTGTTCAAGAAGGAGAGAAAAGGGAGGAAAGGGGAGGGGAGGGAAAAGTGGGATGGAAAGCACAGTTTTCCATAAATTTTCCTCTGTTTTTTAAGGAAGGAAAAGTGCAAAGGAAGGGAAAACAGGAGAGGAAATTTTCTGTAGAACCCAACCCTCCAATTTGGAGAGAAAGTTCTCCACTACCACTTGCTATAAAGGAATTAATTAAGTTTTATTTTATGATCACCTATTATAGATGATTAACTAATAAACTATTATTATTTGTTAACATAATTACAAAATGGAAGAGTAATGGTTTACGTCCTCTTAGTTATTAATTAACTAAGAATATATTTTTAAGAGAGGTAGGGAAAAATTTGAGGGGATAATTATGGATGAAGACAAATATTATTATGAGTTGTAATGAAGGTCAACTCGTGAGTCGCTCCAAATGAACTGAGATACGATGAGGAAAACGGGCGCCACACACCCACCGAATTGATTCGTAACAAGATTTTTGGGCTCACGACATCATATTTATTGTGTTTAGTTAAAATGAGAAAATGAAGCATAATAAAAAATGAGAAGGAGATGGTCGTGGGTTATAGATAAGGATAAGAATAAGTAAAATTTGTTATCTATTTTTTTTAATAATCGGTATTAATCCTCATAACTAAGATAATGACAATTTAATGCGGTCAAAAGCACGATTCTACGTAGAAGCGTTTGGTATTAACATTATTTATAATAAAAATAATATATTTATTATTTATATATTAAAATAATATAATATTAACGCTTTGTTCACGCTCTTAATATTGAGTTTTTGAAAAATAAACGCTAGACGCTCTCGCTTCGCTACCTAAGTTTAGATTAAGTAGGTTTTTTTATGGTCTCCATTGTTCAAATTAATTAAATTAATACTTAAGTAGGTTTCTTTATTAATTGGGTGTTGATAGATTTGAGTGTAATATCAAGGATTACGAAACTGTGCCAGAGGCTATACCGAGAAAGTAGGGTATTTAGAATGCTTGATCAATTATTATAAAGTCTCTATTTTCAATTAATTGTGGTTAAATCACGGTTTTTAAATAAATAAAATATCTATTTACTATTACATAACCAATAAAATAACATATTTATCACACTTCCCAATACACACTTTCCTTCCCACTTTCCTCCATAAAACAACATTTTCCTTCCAATTTCCTTCACCTCCAAATCTCCCCTCCCCTTCTAATTTTCCTTCACCTTCCCTCCTTTTCCTCCCTTCCTTCATGAACATAGTGTTAGACAAATCGCAAGAGATGGATTTAGCGTGTCTGGGCAAAGGATAGATGATGAACCACAGTGCACAGACGAATTTACCGATTGAACATGATCCACGAAGGGTGTTCTCTGCTGCTTTGCAGAATTGCAGAGGACGGTGTTGCCGATCATGTGAACAATGCTCAACTCATATGACCCAAGAGTCGTGCCAGGGGCAGGTATTATCTCCACAGCAAGTCGCTCACTGTCACTGCAACTGCATTTCGTAGTCTGTAATTGAAAACTAACAACTTAACAAGTCACGACAGAGAGCGGCATTGGGAGCCAGAACTCTGTACTACCAAGAAAGACCACTCAAATTGGAATCCAGCTTTGCCAAAAGTCAAGAGGCCTAGTTAAATCCATCGAGGGAAAGCCTGCAAATTGCAACAGAAACAAGGAAAAGCCTAGGCAAGGATGTACAGCCAAAGGAAGGCCGCTTTCCTTTACCCTACACCACCACTCACATCAGTCCTTACGCAAGAGGAAAGCTTTCGTTTCCTCATCACTGCGAGACCGATTACGACTCTCCCTCAAAAGAAAAATAAGACGTACCATGATTGATGGACCTCAACAAACCAGGCCACAGGGACTACTTTATCATCATCTCGCCTCCTCTTCCTAACCATGTAGAAGAGAGCTAAATCTAATAGCTCTTCAATAGGACACTTCAGTTCGGAATACTTGCATTTCACAGACAATAGCAATACTTGCAAGCTTAACCGTTCTTATCCTCCTCCCTGTACCCTAATGAATCAAGTGCAAGAAATTCAATGGTCGAAGGAACTACAGGCTGAATCAAACAAAGGTGAAGAACCAAGCACCAGTTACCTAAACCATAGTCAATGTAGGTGAAACCAATATTATGTACAGAAACAGGAACATCTGATCCCAGAATTCGAAGAAATATCAGGGGTTCATATCACTGCTAAAAGAGCAAGCAACTAACAATCCATTGATGCACTTTTATTATGGAATCAACCCTTATCCCCACAATTTCATAGTGCAACCAAGACACTCCCCAACAACCCATTTCAACACACTACCCACTACTAATCCACTAATTTTGAAGAAGACAGAAGCGAAGTGAAAAGAGTTTATAAGAAAAGATTAAAAAAAAAAATTGGTTACAAACCAAAGTACCCAATCTATGAGAACCCATCATTCCATTTCATCGTATCTCTCAGAACCTCTCAACCTTGTCAGCCTTGATGACCGGATTGGCCTTGGCGATTGCATTCTTCCCGGCTTCCTTGAAATCGTAGTCACAATCGTGGTTCTCCGGGTACCTATGAGACCCGCAGAAGGTGCTGCCGCACTTGCACTTAAACCCCGTCAACCCGACCCTCTTGTTGCAGGTCAAGCACCTATTCGCCGCCTTGGCCACCTCCGCCGCCACCGCAACCACTTTCGCCTCCGACGATGACGACCCTGCTGCCGCTGCCGATGATTTCTCCAGAGCAATCACATGCTCCGCCGCCGTCGCTACAGATTTGATGTCTGCGGCGATCGATTCAGCTTCCGACAAAGGCTTCTTCGATTTGAAGCTGAGGGTCTTCTCCATGGCGGCCTTGGCCGACGCCGCTTGCTCCTCGCAGACCCGTATTTCCCTGTAGCACTTGGAGCAGAGGTTCATGTTGGACGGCGAGCCGAAAAACCCACACCCGTTAGCGCAAAGCTTTGGCTCCGCCGGTGGGAAGCTCGTTCCGTCGTTCTGCTCCGAACCCATCTTATTTTCTTCAAGGAGTTTCAATGAACCCAGCAAAGGAGCTTCAAAGAAAAGAGAAACCAGAGAAAATCAAATTAGGGTTTTATCGAAACACGGCAAATCTTCCCCCCACGATTCCCCTATATCGAGAAGCCAGAGAGAGAGAACAGGGTCTTCTCTGTGGCTATCGAGTTCGTGATTATGTTTCCAAGCTCTGACTGAGAATTCAGAGGGAAAGGGCAAATTTTGATTTCGATAGGAGTTATCGATTTATACAAGGCGTAATCTAAATAAATAACGTTGCTTTGTCGGTTAATGACTCTTCTTTCTTTCCCTTCCTTGGCAGGGAAGACCCGGTATTTACCGGTTCACCCAGGAACAAGGATTTATTGTTGCCGGGGGCATTCTGGGAAATGTCCGGATTGGTAACTCCGAGTTAAACAAGGAGACGACAATTCGACAAATAAACAACACACGCGTGAGTCTTACCCAAATGACGGGAATGCCCCCTGTAACCGTGCCTAATGCGGTGCCGTATGTGGACAAAATTGACTGCAATTTAAATACAATACAATAAAAAATAAACTAGGAAAAATCCAACTAATTAAATCCAGAGTGGAATTCCGGCAGGTTCTTGAGGAATCCAAAATAAAATAGACATTAAAAATGGATTCCAGCTCACCGAATTTTATCTCCCCACCAGAAAAATCGCCTGCATCCGCGCAAGTTTTACTTGCATCAACCCAGCCAGGTAACGAAATCAAAACCGTCCAAATTCAAGCGATTGAAAGGATCTGGCGTCTCTATAATCTACATCAGTCGTCACGCCAAAACCAATCCCCCTTTTCAAATTTTATTTTCCATTATTATTATTACTATAATTCTTAAAGAAAATAAAACGAATTTTAATTTCTGGGTATTTCTCCAATCAAACAATCTCGGTCAGATCGTCGCAATTCGGAGAGAGCCGTAGCCGGCGGAGAAGGCGATTAGCTACCAACAATTAAAAACTCAGGAAACGGAGAAGAAATAAGAGACGGGATCTGCTAATTCTTGGATGAAAACCCGACTCCCCCCAACAAGATAAGAAACCTCCCGTACCTTAGGTGGACGATTCCAGCAGCTGAAATTCTTCACCTCCGACGGCTCGCCTCCGCGTTCGTTTGAGAAAACTGGAGAACGATTGACGAAATTGAAAGAAGGGGTTCGATTATTGACGAACAAGAGAAAGGAAGGAAGAAAAAGGGGGAGAGACGAAAAGGACAAGGCGAAGAAGAAAGGAAAACCTCGAAGAAAAGCCAACCGAAAAGGAGAAGAGGAAAAGGAAAAGAAACCCAGAAATTTTTTGAGTGGATGAAGATTCAACCCAGAGCCACCAGCCCACCACCGCACCCCTCTCTCTCTCTCTCTCTCTCTCTAGGCCTCCGGTTTTATGTTGATTTTTCCGAAGGCGCACCCACCACCTTGCCCACGGTTTCTTTTTTTTTTCTTTTTCTTTCCACTTTTTTTTCTTCCTTGGTGGCCGATGGTGGAGCGCGCACCCATTTACCTTATCGTGAACCCCCACAATGCGAGCTGTTCGATGACCATTGCTCGAGCCTGTCAAGTTGTCATGACGTCATTCGTTCAAAATCCAGCGGTCTAGATTCCGTTTCCTTCCCTCGGTTTCCAATCGCGGTTCCGTGTAAATTCAGTTTTCTTCGTACGATTATTTAAAGAGACAAGAGAAAAAGGAGGGCTGCTTTTTTGCCGTTTCTAGGACAGTGGGGCCCACCGCTCTTGTTTCTTACGCTACGTCAGGAGGGAATTGGGCTGGGAGTTTGTTATGCTCGCTATTTGGGCCTAAGCTGGTCCAAAAGGGTCCGGCCCGTGTCGTTAGACCGGACTGAGTATGACTTTGCCAGAACGAGTAACGATCAACTTGAACTCGAACAACCTTTACTAAGCAGAATGTGAGAAGGGAGCAACAAGGCAAAGCAATGTATATTAGCTTTTCTTGATCATCACATTCTGAATCTTATTTCCCCTTTGACAAGTTCTACTCTGAGTCCATCCCACAAGCAGTGCTTTCTTCATTACTGACCTTGGACTTTGTCCCACAGCAAACCCTTCTAGTACTAGCAGCACCAGGCGCATCAACAGCATTTTCAGCAGGATCCATTGATCTCCTCTCCATGAACTCAGAATTCTCCTTCCAAACCTCCCCATTCGAGTAAACCTCCTTCTTCCATATCGGAACGGTCGCCTTTAGCTCATCTATCATGAACTTGCAAGCATCCAGCGCGTCGCCACGATGAACAGCTGACACGGCAATGAACACGCTGGTTTCCCCTACCGGAACCGCCCCCAGGCGGTGTGCCACAGCAATGGCGTGGATCTTCCAGGTAGCCCTGGCCGAGGAACAGATGGACTGGATTTGGCGTACTGCCATTGGCACGTACGCCTCGTACCGCAGCTCCACCACTGTCTTGCCGTCAAAGGTGTCACGCGTTGTCCCTGAGAATGTTGTGATTGCTCCTGCCTGTGGAGCGCTGACGAAGTTGGTGTATCTGGCAATGTCGACTGACACGTTTTCGTCCAGAATTTCGATGAGGTTCTTGTCTTCGTTGTTGTGCATTTTTGCTTTCTTCAAGTTGGAATAGAGATAGCTCTCTGGCAGGTTTAACACAGAGAACACTCAGTAGTCAGAAGATGTGTGGAGAAGCAAAACGGGATAAACCATGTTAACAATGTCTGCACATGATGATTATGGAGGTCGGTCACAAGGTTTTGGCTTTGAAATTCAAGAAACTTTGAATGCTTAACTCATAAAGGAATATCAGAACTGCAACGCTAGCTGTAGGACCGACACAATGAATGGTATTGTTAAAGGAGCTTCAAAATTCGATCTCAGCAGCAATCTAGCTTATGGGAAGCAAGCCAAAGAGTTAGAAAAGATGAAATGCAGCAAATATTCAATTCCCCTTGTTTTATAGGTAGATGAACAAATGGAACTTTTATCTTATTAAACATCCTATCTACTGCAAATATGTGGCTTGACCATCCCTTTCTTTAACTGGTCAAGTTCCGTAGGTTCGGGAATCAGGATGCAACAGATTCTAGGCATCTATTAGCCTGTCCAGTTTCAGTTATAGGAATTTCTCAGATTTCTGGATTTGGGCAAACTATAAACAAATTTGATCATAGTTCCCTCCATTCATGAATTCCGGACCTGGGTTAGAATAGAAGGCAGAGAAGCAGTTAACTGCAGCTTTCTCTGAACTGCCGCAGCAATCATTCTATACCTAGTCAATGGTTGACTCTGCTATAACGGAGAAGTAATGAAGAGGATATTGGAAACTAGATTCATGAATTGTATAACTCCTTAAACTACGAAGAAACCATTAATGAAATTCCAAAAAAGAGAATTAGAAGAGACATGATCAGCTCATTATCTGAAGGAACAAACCCCAAAAAACACAAGAGAAGAAATCCGCCATACCTGTGACGATTTGGGTACCGATTAGCTGAAATTCTTCACCGTCGTCGACGAGCTCCGTGCCTCCGTCAGCGTTATCTTTGAAACAAGCGGGACGCCGTGGGGATTGATTTGCCGAAATGAGAATAAGGGATTCGATTATCGGGACATACGAAGAGAATATCAATCCAGAAACGAAACCCAGAAGTTGGATTCCTTTTTAATGGATTAAGATGGAACCCAGAACCGCCACCGCCGCCGCCGCACCTCAGTTCGGGTGGGCTGATGGATGAGGTATACAGTTCTGAAGGCCACGGGGCAGGGGAAACCTTCTGTCCTTTTCCCACCCAGAAAGTCCACTTGCAGTTGCTGAGTTGCAGTCGTCATTAAGGATGGCAATCAAACCCGTAATCCCCGCTTTGACCGGGTATGGGACGAGTATGGGTAAAACCCGCAAAAAGTATGATGGGTATGGGCGGGTATGGTTTTAGCCTCCCCCGCCTCATACCCATACTCATATCCGCCCCACCAAGAGAATTTCTTCACATATACAAAAATATGTGGATCAAATTGTAATCTTTCAATGATGATGAGGATAACTCGATGAAATAAATAGTAGAAATGTAATTGAGTGACCATCTTAATCAAAACCAAATTCATTTCTCTCAATTCTCCTTTCACTCTTTCACTTTCCCCCTTGTCAACAAGATTATGTTAGTTAATTATTACTTAATAGATGTATCAGAGTTAGAACATAATAATTTGAAAAATCTTATACTCTATATTATGTATTATCGAATGTTTTAGGATCATATTCTTTGAACCGTATTAAGAAAATGATCGTGTTTTGTTGAATTCGTGATATAATAGATACGTTTAGAGTTGTAGTTAAAACTTTTCTTGTAAATTTTAGGATAATAATGTTGGATGTACGGGTACGGGTATTACCCATGGGTACCCGAAACCCATGGGTATGGGGATGGGTTTGGCAAACATTCCCCGCATGGGTATGGGTTTGAATATGTGAAGATGGGGATGTGGATGATTTAGCCAAACCTGCCCCATTGTCATCCCTAGTTGTCACCAATAAAACGTTTTTACTTCTTTTATTTGAGGCTAAATTACACGTTTGGTCACTCAAATTATACAAATTTTTCATGTTTGCCACTCGAATTACTTTTCTTTCTTATTTACCACTAACTTTACGAATCGTTTCACCGTTAGTCACCCGCCGTTACACTCCGTTAAGTTTGTCCTACGTGGCAGTCAACTATAAAGTTTGACTGTTAACTAGATGACGTGGAAATTAAAATAAATTAAAAAATAATTTTATTTTTCCACCTCATCATTCCACTTACTTTGTCTATATACTTTATCATATTTATGATTTAATTAAAATTAATTAAATTATAAAATTAATTCCTCCTCCTTCACAACTCAGGTGAAGCTTTGCTCCGCCTCCAGAGCACCACTCCAGCTATCTCCTTCCTCCTCCTTTCCCTTCTCAGGCCGTCTTTGTCTAATGTATAAGCTTTGAAAAAAAAAAAAAATGGGCATGGGCAAGAGATCCAGCGGGATGGTGCTCCGGTCGCTGTCTCTCCGCGGCCGATTCCCGTCGTACAACTCCGCCGGCGTCGGCCTTCTTCCGCACCACAACTCCACCACACAGATCCGCCTCTCCGACGCAATCTATATCCCCAGAGTCCTTCGTCGTCGACAAAGCTTCTTTAATTCTCTGTTTGTTTCCTTTTGACTTTCCCCTACACAACAACAGCAACAACATTAACACCACCAAAGACGACAACAGAAGCAACCAATAACGTAGCTTTCCCTTTCCTTCTCCCCAGCTCCAAGTCCACTGTTCATTGCCCCATGGCAGAAGCCGGAAAGGACAGCCAAACATACACCCACTTGCTACAGCACAAGTTACTTCAGAAAACCCTAAAATTTCCCCCCAAAAAAATGACACTTCAATTCAGCAAATCATCGTTAAGCTGGCAAACTCTGCAGCCATGGAAGATCACGTTGACTGGATACAGTAAGCGAAAAGAGAAATGGAATTCAGAGCACAAATGGCGAGTAGTTCCTGTAACCCCTTGGAAAATTTATCAACTAGTTGCTGTGTGTTCTCATTTACAAACAACAAAAGAGCAAAGAAGATTACATTCAGGGTCAAGAGAATGAACTCTATCCCTCTCTCGCAAATCACGGTGGCAGCAAAAAAATAAAAGACGACAATAATTGAGAGATCGATGGGGCGGGATGCTTTTCGACGCGATTGTACTGCTTGCTACCTCGAGGCGAGCGACGTTCCGATTCTCGATCGACAGATCCACATCTCCCAATCGCAGCATATCCGTCACGACGAAGCACACCAATCGCATCTCCAGCCTCCCGCGAGGAAGACGTGTATGTGCTCTCCGACCTCGCATCCCAGATCATTTTGTTGCAGTCTCCACAAGAACAGCCACCAGAACGGCCACGCCGGATGGAGCTCGTTCATTGGCGAGGCAGTAATAGGTTTCCCTTAAAGATGGAAAACCTGTGTGGTGGATATAGATTGCGTCGACGACGAAGGACTCTGGGGATATAGATTGCGTCGGAGAGGCGGATCTGTGTGGTGGAGCTGTGGTGCGGAAGAAGGCCGACGCCGGCGGAGTTGTACGACGGGAATCGGCCGCGGAGAGACAGCGACCGGAGCACCATCCCGCTGGATCTCTTGCCCATGCCCATTTTTTTTTTTCAAAGCTTATACATTAGACAAAGACGGCCTGAGAAGGGAAAGGAGGAGGAAGGAGATAGCTGGAGTGGTGCTCTGGAGGCGGAGCAAAGCTTCACCTGAGTTGTGAAGGAGGAGGAATTAATTTTATAATTTAATTAATTTTAATTAAATCATAAATATGATAAAGCATATAGACAAAGTAAGTGGAATGATGAGGTGGAAAAATAAAATTATTTTTTAATTTATTTTAATTTCCACGTCATCTAGTTAACGGTCAAACTTTATAGTTGACTGCCACATAGGACAAACTTAACGGAGTGTAACGGCGGGTGACTAACGGTGAAACGATTCGTAAAGTTAGTGGTAAATAAGAAAGAAAAGTAATTCGAGTGGCAAACATGAAAAATTTGTATAATTTGAGTGACCAAACGTGTAATTTAGTCTTTTATTTGACAATGTCAACTGTTTGCTAGACATAGAAAAACAATTCCATTATAAAAACAAATTCAATATGATAATCCAGATGGTGAATGCTGAAAATACAATAAGATAATCCAGATGCGTCAACTGAGTATGCAACATATACATATCAGACATAAACTTCTTGAATGGAGTTCTGCCATGAGAAGGTGATCAAGTCAGCCAGCAAAAAAGTGGCTACTAATTGTGACTGATTAGAGGAATTTTTTTGTCCTTGGGATTGACACTTATTTAGTGTGAATTATTACGTAAGTTCAACATATTTTACACAAATTAATTTCATCTACATTTTTACAATCCTCATTTGATTTCCCCCTCCCACTTTTTGTAATCTCCTAAAATTGGATCACGTATATACTCATTGAGACAACAAAAAAATGAACAAAAAAACTGAATCTTCCTTCACGATATACAAATCATAAAACTCGATAAGTTCAGTATGACTTTCTCACATCCCTTGTCACTATTATAATCCTCAGCCATACGTTTTGATTTCCGTTTGCAGATCACAATATAATTCCATCAAACAAAGCATTCCAGTTTTGTGTAGAAATGCACATGCCAAACTATTCAGAATCCAGAACAGAATGTCACCAAACAGCACAATAATTAGCTCTCAATCAACTAATGTACAATTATGTTTTCCCTCTTTCTGTAGCACTTGACCCTTGAGCAGGAAACCTGGTCGAGCTATTAGTCGCATAGGGGGAGGCTCCGTTCCATTTCATAGCCATCATTATGACCCATTACACCCTTTCACCCCCCAAGTTTTGTAGGGCAATCTTACATGCACATATAGCCTTTTCATATTGGCCTCTCTTAGCAATTATTAGCCCAAAGTATAACCTGATCAGCAGGATAGCCCATCCTCCTCCTCCTCTGCAAACTTCAAACTCTTATTAGTGGCTTTCGTTTCGAGTACAACAACCTGCTAGTAATGTAACATCTAGTCATTTGCACTCTTGGAGCTAGCTCGACTATGTCATATGGTGAATCGGTGATTCATTACACTATCTCTAAGTACTTAATGGATGAGGTACATCAATATATTAGTTGAACAAATAACATACAATTATATACACACACGACTGCTATAGCCTATATGTATGATCGAAATTTGCAGAGATCATGCTGCCAAGGGAATTCTGGTGGGTTGGTTGATGATGAATCCATATACCAGTATCGAAAGAGAAGATAAATAGGATTAGACGTGTAAATGAGACAACTCAGGAACAGTGCAAAAAGGACCAATTGGAGGAATATTTGATATCCCCCACATCATTTGCATATACTCAGTGTTCCATGTGTGAGAGGGTACCCTCTACATTTTGTCAAAGAATATATCGATCAAGGAGAAGCGCGGGGCAGAATTCATTTTAGGGCACTTGAGGATGAAGGAGAAAGTAGGGAAGAAAGACTTTGATTTATTGGTTGACTATTTGCACATAGGGTATTAGGGTTAGAGCTTATAATGTGTGTATAGTCATGGGTCGGTAGTAACTAACTAACTAACTATTTTATCCATATAGGATCAGATGGACCGGACCGAACAACATGATTCGATTTGGTTATGTGTTCGTGAACTTTCTTAAGACAATGGGACAAACTGAATTGAAGGTCGAACCAAATAATACTAAAATCCGTTGATCCGATGCTAATTCTCATTTCCCTTTATATTTGGTCCGTTTAGAGTCGCCATTCAACATAGCGTATCGTGTCCATCCGTGGTGTCTAGATCTCGAGGAATTTATGAGAACATATTTTTTTGCTAAGGGGAATTGATGGGAATATAATTGGGGAGGTAGTAGTAAAAGTGGAAACAATAATAAGGGAATGAATAGTTGGGCTAGTTTAATGGTATTTGAAGTGACCATCATACTATCTTCATCCAACTCAATAATGATATTCCCATTATTTTGCCATCTTAATGTTATTTTGCCCTATTCAACAATGGCATGATTGTGGGTTACCTGGGAGTGGGATAGTGCCTACACCAATACCATACACCTTCTGCTGCTGCTGCTACCATGTCTCAGTACATTCTATTTCGTATTTTGATCATCATCTCCACCTATTACGGTTGTGACTTTGTGTTGATTATGACAAATACGACTTGAGAATTGAGGCATAGGAATTTGGTAGCCAACTACTCTATTGCAACGGGATTCATCACACTCGTGGCGCGCACTTCAACCATCTCCATCCAACTCCAATGCTTCCCCTTACTCTTTTACAATATCTTCGTGACGCCAGACTAATACAAGTCTTGTACCGTCTACTTATCGTGAGAGAGAGATCAAGTATGCGAACATACAATACGCGAGATAGACCTAATGGCCGATAGCATCAAGAGGGCCAGGGAGACTAATATGGTTTCCAGCCTAAGGAAGCAAGTAAAACTCGTGACCAAAACAGGAAGAAGAAAAAGTGATGACTGTGGTAGGCGGTTTGCTTCATTTCATTACTAGTTTTAATTAGGCCATGCAGATGTGTCACTGTGCGTTCAAAGGCAAAGGCCAAAGAAGAACAGAGAACAGAAACAAAGCAAGAGAGGAAGGGGGGTTTGTGGGTGCTTCTTCTCCAGGCCCTCGATGAATCATTTGACTCTTTCTTGTTCGATTGTTGTGTTCAAACCAATTATTATTACCACTATACATCCCAAACAAAGTCTTCTAAAGGGCGTGGGATCGATAATGAATTGAGAAGGAAGACTAAAAAAAGGATTTAGCTCCAATTGGGGATAGTTTACTAGCCAAAAGTAAATATATGGTAACAATCCTACTGTTCTAGGTCTTCAGTCTTCACCATTAGTCCCCTAATTGTGAGCAGACTTGGGCATAGTTTACTTTTGCAGCGTCTAAAACAGTTAAGAAGTGGGTCCCTATGACAAGTTGCAGCCAATCCATAATAATAGTCAGTTTAAGCAAAGCAACCATGGAATTTTGCTGTCGCCAGTCATTTTCTTAACCAGCCAGCCAGCTGCTGCATTCTCAGGCTCACTTGTGTTCATTATTACCGTTCAGAAGACATCACAACAAATGCTATCACTATCTCCCTATCCCAGTCTATTATTTACCTCCTGACTGAACAATTAAGAAAAGGAAAGAAACAACCGTCTCCTAGTTTAGTCTCCTAATAACAGCATACAAACTAACAGTGATCCTTAATCAAATTGAAGATGTATGCAAAGGGAAGAATCGATCAGAAAAACTTACCCTTTTGGTGGCAGCAAGAGAACTGGATGCTGCTGATTGTATTGCACCAAAAACAAACCATGTAAATGCGAAAATCCATTATTGCAGTAGTAGACAATCCATGGAAGGGGTTTTTGGCCTTAGTTGATGGCTCGAATGACTCGCCATCAGATATACAACGTTCATCATCATTTCAGGACTTTTTGCGCTTCTTCAGTTCCTTCAAATTCTTCATAAGAGAGTTTCTTTCTTTCTCTTTGGCATCACGAGTCCCCAACTGCAATCATTGCCCTGGACAAACAAGGAAGGAGCTATCCCTCTCCTTCTCTATCTAATGCACACCCCATCACCCCCACTACTATATAGCTAATCAATGCACTCACAACCAATTCTTCGTTCATCCCAGTAGTTATAGCCATTCTGCAGATCCCTTACCTAAAACCCAATTTCCTCCCATTTCTCCAACATTTGTAGAGAGGAATCATGTGCATCATGAGAGAAGAAAGGTCCCCTTCTCATATGGAGGTTTCAAAAAGAAGGCATCAACCCAAGAAACCTAAACTTCAAGTCATTGGGCTCACCAGGTAATGTAGAGGGTAAAGAGACTAAGAGAGTAGTACCTTTAATTCCTCTTCTTTGTTAGTTGGTTAAGTTTTACTGTTACTGAAGGTCATCACTTTCTTTCTATTGAGACAGAAACAGGAGAAGGAGTGGTGAGGGATACAAGGACATGGAGCTGAAGAACGTGAAACTATATTTGCAGAATCGAACCATCTTCGAAGAGAATGAGAAGCTGAGGCAGAAAGCTTACCTTCTCCTCGGGGAGAATCTAGCTCTAACGAGGGAGCTCCAAAACAAGTTTCCTCATTTGGATCACTGCTCCACGACTCTTGTACAGAAACAATAGTTACTGCCAAGAAAAAGGAACTGCCTTTCTACCAATCCCTTTTCACTAGCTCTAGCCTCTATGTATTATGAATCATCAGAAGTATTAGTTTTGATGATTATACATAGCATTCATGCTTATGCCTACTCTGCTAGAGAAGTAATGAAGTGCATGCAAGTCTTCAGGTTAACTTGTTGTGTTGCTGGTCTATAAGGAGGCTACACCAACTCAGCAATCTAATGTCTCGTATATGCTTTGATAAGTTTTATCAAAAGAAAGAGGTGATCTTTCCGTCCTATCTACTATTAGTACCTAATGTTCAAACATTACGTAAACTATTAGTTCAATGTACTGCAATAATCATGCCTACCCTACATAACTCCAACAAGACACATGTTTTTCTCAACCATGAACTGCAGCAGCATGCAAAGGCTTATTAAAATGGCTGTCAGGAGAGTTAACTTGACATTATCTAGCCGGGAGATGGATAACTAACCCTGGAAGTAATAGTCAAACTACTACTTCCACATTTCTGAAATGTTTGATTGCAAGCTGAAACAAACAGCCACCTAAACAGCTCAAATGTTAAATGAAGTTGTCAAAAGTAAACACGGAATGTCAGCCATGGCTGCAATTGCTTCCTCACTTATTAATCAAAGATATTTACAAAAATAACGAGGACAAAATGAAAATTTTGAGTAGTTTAATATTTTACAAAGCCTCAGCGTCTGTGATTGACAAACTCACCAGCTATGATGATCAATCTGCATCCAACCATTTTACTACAGCAATGAATAAGTCAACACTCTATTCACCAACAAAAGCATTCCCCCTTCCATCCACTTCACAGCTCACCAAATCAATCTCTAGTCCTGAACAAAACAGAAAGTGATAACTAATCATTGTTAATATGGAGTACATAAAGAAACATTTTACTTCAGCAGATCAGCACCAAACTAGGCAATACCATCTTCAAGTTGGAGGAAGCAGTTTGAATCCTGCTGTTGCACACAAAAGAGTGCATAATCTGGAACCATGTGTGTTCAAAAATCCTTAGCACGTTCCTCCGATTCTCTGAAAATTCGAAACGCGGCAATGGCCATTGTGGCGTTACCAATTACAGTCAAAGCAGCTTGAAGAGCCACCAGTACCTAAAATAGTTGAAAGAGACAACATCTTTAGCAACCAAATCCCCTAGAAGCCAGTTTCAGCAGTTCTCTTTCTATTCTTTTCTATGTTTTACCTCTAGAGACTCTGCATTGTAGAAGAAATGCCATGTGCATGCACAAAGAGCTCCACCAAGCAAAGGTACCTGATTCCCAGTTTCACTATTAGCTAGGTAAACCCCAGAGATTTTGCACTGTTACAGGCTAAAAGGAAGAAAATTCAGATGAACACAAGGAAACAGGAGTAACTCACCATACCCCAAGAGAGCCCCTTCCAGGTTTCAAACCCAGATTTCTCCCCGTACTGCCACACCAATGCCATTGCTGTAACCCTGTCGAAATCGAAAAAAGAAATTTACCCATTAGAACAGAAGCTCCAAGAGAACAGGAAGCAGGAAGAATAGTAGATAAAAAGAGAAATAGAACCCACCACTCCACAACGCTCGACACGTGGACAGCCCAGGTGGGCAAAGAGAGCGCGTTAGCGGGCTCGCTGAGCTCACCCACCAGAGGTAGGTTCACTGCGAAGGCGGGTTCAATGACGGTCAGAACCAGTCCGGCCCCAACGAGACCGGCGACGCCATAATTCACCGGGTTTTTTGCGGCCGCGATGGGCGGCGTTGGAATACATACCAGTTTACGAGGAAAGGGAGAATTGGGAAGGGTAGGCTGGGGTTTGCGAGATGGAACGGGGAGTGAAGTGAAGAATGATAAGGTTGCTGCAGTGGAAGCCATGGAATCTTTAGAGGTCCCTGTGTTCTGTGCAGGGCGCAGGTAGTTGGGACTTGGGAGCAGTTCGATTTTGCTAGAATAGTCACAATAGGTCCCGCGAAATGAAGGGTACCCACATGCCACAGCTACTTTCTTATATCGATCCTTGGTCTAATTGCTCAGAATCTTTCCCACTAAAGTTTCGTGTACCCGGTTAATGGTTGACCATTGAATGAATCGAGCTACATTTGAGAAATGAGATCATCTACAATGGCTAGCAACATAATAGGATAAACAAGACTATCATATTACACAAGAACTGGTTGATCAGGAATAGAAGGATCACCTCCACACGATATCCGGATTCCACAGCCGCTTCTCGTTCATTGTGGACAATCACTACATTGGTGGACAGATGTGGAGGAAACAAAATCCACATTTTCCCAGGAGCTTCATTACATCTTTTTTTTTTTTTCCAAGTAATGACAAGAGAAAAAATAGTTAGAAACCTCTACCCAAAACCCCACCCAAAGCAACACTTAGTGAAGCCACCCTACAAAATCAAAGGACGCTACCTCTAAAGAGGACAGCAACAGAGCTTTAGGTGCCACTCTATGGGCAGCTCAGTTGGCAGTCCGCAGAACCACACTAAAAACTATACAAAGAGAGCATGAAACTAGGAGCCGATGACACTCTTGGAGTAGTGAGCCGCCTATCGAATCTTCCACTATTCTACGGGCCAGATGCCGAATCACCACTTCAGGATCACCTAGCAGCAAGGTGCTTTGCTAGAAAGGGATCGAAAACTCCTTGGTGCTGAGATCCCAGGCCAGTAGAACTTGCCCGTCTGTCCCATGAATGACGAGGCCAGACGAGCAACCGGAACGACAAACAGCAGCATCAAAGATGATCTTCACAAAGTCTGGAGGCGGGCGATGCAGAACGAAAGGAGGAGAGGGCACAAGACTGAGAGAGAGGTCCTGGGGGCTGAAAGGCTAAGGAAAATTCAATGACTTGGAAATGGAATTGACGGGCAAGAGAACGGGCGTGTGGCTGAGTATATTCAAAAATCACTTTGTTAAGAGATTTCCAGATTCTCCAAAAAAGGCAAACGCATGGGAGAATGTGGGTTTGGAAGTTTACTGAAAACATAACATTGTCGCCACCATATACTAAAGTTCGAAGTTTGGGCGGAAGCAAGCAAATCACTTAATCCCACTAAAAGTCCATAGCATGATGACAAGAGGGCAATGAAAGAACAAATGTTCAATAATCTCTTGATATTCCCAACAATCTAGATATTTGAGAAAGCTATTTACTTCATGAAATTGAAGAGCTACCATAGTTTGCAATGTCGTTTAACATAATACAAATACAATTTAAAATAATATAAACCATTCTTAGTGGAAAGCCATATCCGCTAATCACCCACTCTTCAACTTTGTCGTGATTTATTAACCCTAATTAATTTTCTAACAAAAAAATTGTTATTACCATTTGGCAAGAAACCAAAAATTGAGTTTTAGAATTCACATTCTACTGCCGATGGGCCTCAAATTAAAATGAATGGAAGGAAATGTCATCAATTCTAATAAATTGAGCTAATGGCTCATTAAGTTAATTGTAAACACAAAAGGAATCGGAATTAATTATTAATTAATGACGTTTTTAACCACAGCCCAAAATAATGGGCGTCTTTCAATCCGATGAGTAAATGCTCATAAAATTCCAACGGATGAAGCTTTTCCAATGAGGAAGAAGTTTGCGCCACTGATACTTTGAAAGCCATAAATTAATTCTGAAAGTCATAAATTAATTCTTTCTATCCCATAATTTGGAATATAAACCAACCATAAAGGTCGTAGAGCGCCATAAAAGGATCGCTTTAGTGACTCATTAATCACTTGTAACGGATCATTAAAGACCAAATAACATCAAATAACATAAATGATGTATTAAAACAAAATAGGGCAAAACTGACCAATGGGGCCATTAATTGGTTCTTTATTTCTCGCCTGAGGAAAATTGATTGCACGGGACCGTCGGACCAACAACGTCGCCGGAGGCCAGTGTTTCCAGCTTTATGGCCACCGCAGCCTCCGGAACCAATCTTCTCCGCCGCGGAGGCCTTCCTCTTCTTCGCGGCAGCAGCGTAGCTCTTCCCATGGAAATCAACAAAAAGCACCAGAAAAAGCACCAGAAGCGAAGCATTGAAAACGGCATTGAATCACCACCCCCACATACCGGAGCACCCGCCGCCGGCGAAATGGTAGTACAGCATCAGCCCGGAGATACAGAAGCTGAATACGAACTAGTGGTAGTAATCCAATGGTAGCAGCCCATTCCCAAAATCCCTAATCTTATTCTCTCTCGGTCTGAAAATCAAAAGGGATCTGATCAATTCTCAAAATCATCGCAAGCCACAAACGAAAATCCTAGAACCGACCAAAATTATGTGGGAGCGAGGAGACTGTGGCGGGTGCGTTGGCGTCGAAGCCAGATCCTGGGCACGACCCACCGTTCTTCTCAACAGACAACAATGTATAATTTGTTACTAGGCTGCGATCCTGTTATTAGTGAAAGAGACCACAATCCAGGTTTGGCATTCTCTTAAACCTCAATCGCCTCCGGAAATCGCGATTGTTCCCAGGATTCTCATCAAATTCAGCCGAAGTGTGCTCCATCTCGAGCTCCACATCCTCAACAAGCATTTCACCGACAAATTCCCCAACACTCGTCGTTAAGACCCTCCTAGAAATCACATTGTCTACATATTCACAAATGGGAACATCGGCGAATCCATTCTCTAATCCGCCAGCACCATCAGTCTTGGGGGACAGAGCCTCCAGCAGCGGTTTCAACATACTTCGAAGCTTTTCCAAAAATTGGGTACCTTGGCTTTCGTCATAGCAAGTGACGGGCGACGAATCGGGATCATCGGCGGTAGGGTTTCTTCCTAGTAGTACCAGCCTTGAGATTCCGGGGAAGGAGAAGAGTAGCTGGAGATGGCCGGCCTCCGTGGAGAAAATCCAGTCAGATTCGCGGTTCAGGGGAACAAATAGTGCTGCGACTTGAGATGGCCCACGGAGCGGGAAGGGTGAATCGAGGACGGCGACTCGGAGGAGGCGCAAACGGAGATCCGGCAGGGGAATCGTGAAGGAAAGGAAGCGAGAGGGAACTATAGATTCGAAGACTTTGACGTCGAGAGCCATTGCGAAATCCGGCGGCCGTTTGATCGGAGAGCCATTGCCCGAGCTTCATTACATCTCAGAGACACAGTTAACACATTCATTATCCAGGCCGAAATAGGGTCATCCTTTTTTTTTTTTTTTTTCTTTTCTTCTTCTTCTTCTCTGTCTCTTCCTCTACCAATCCTCGAACCAGGGTGGCGGATCCAGCGGCACAATAACATTTGCACCTAGCTTTCTCGCCAACAGGCCACCGAAATAGGGTCATCAGAGATGCATAAAATATTCAAGGTGAGAATGGGCCCTGAAATGCTGGAGCGAAAGGGAGTAAGCCTACGGATAAAATTAATAGAGCCCGTGTTTATTGGGCTTCGAGTTCGGGCTCAGGCCCAGCAATGTGCACAGATTGGAGAAGTAGGGCGAATGCGATGGTGTTGAGGGCTGGGGATTTTACTTTTTAGTGCAAATCCTTCCTGGGGTGTGTTTGGCGGCGGAACCACGATTTGCACAAAGAGAAGAGCCGGCACCGGCGAAGAGAAAAAAGACAAGAGAGGAGAACCAAGACTCCGCCTTAGCTAGCAGTCAATCTCAACGGCGTCATTGCCGGTTTTCGTTTCCAACCAGACTGGAGCATCTGTTTGAACCAGAACTCGGCTTCGGGAAATTCAGCTTCACTAACTGCTATAGTGAGGCTGAGCAAGGATGGCGGACGTTATCAATGTGAAAGACGCAGAGGCGTTGGCTGCGGAGTGGGGAATCGACACATCGCAAATAGATTTCGATTCTATAGAGCTGCCGCCGGGCGAGGATTTCGGCATCATCAGGTATTTTATTCGAAACCCTAATAACAATATCGAACTGAACTCTGTTTCCGCCGGTGATCTGAGAAGATGGAATGTACAAATTATTGTGGGTAATGAAAATGGGGTTTTCACTCTTTGATTGATAGTGACGATGAAGATGTCTATCAAGAGGAACAGCTGGATTCGGACACAGGTTTCGGCAACGTGATTGTTGTGGATAATCTTCCGGTTGTTCCGTTGGAGAAATTCGAGAAGCTTGAAGGGGTTGTCCGCAAGATTTATACTCAGATTGGGGTTATTAAGGAGGATGGTCTCTGGATGCCCGTTGATTCTAAGACCAACAAAACCTTAGGCTACTGCTTCATTGAATACAACACTCCTCAGGTGCTACTCTGCTTTCACTTAGTCTTTTCCATTCAGCTCATTGGTGCCCAAATATCCGGGTTTGTGTGTGTGTGTGATTATTGATGGTGTGATATCAACTCACAGGAAGCGGAACTGGCTAAGGAAAAGACCAACGGGTATAGGCTGGATAAGTCTCACTTTTTCGCGGTCAATATGTTCGATGATTTCGACAGATTTATGAGAGTTCCAGATGAATGGGTAGCTCCAGAGATCAAGCCATATGTCCCTGGGGTAACTAGATTCTGTACTCCTTTGATGTCTTGTTCACTTCATCTTCTGGCATGGGATGGAAATTACTGCTCCCATTTTGCAAGAATCAATTGTCTTACATGATGCATCTTTGTAAGTACCCAGCTTAGTTGAGAACAAGGTGTTGATAGCCACTTCAGACTCCTTTTTATATTGTTGTTCAAACATGCTTATGGTTTAGTGTACGTGGATTTGTGTATTGAGTACCAAGTGCGTCTATAATGGATGTGTGACATCTGTTTGGGATATGCATATGCAGTTTTCAAATCTAACAGTTTTATGAATATTTGCTTTGGAACTTTCTTTGCCCTGCCCGTTGCCAAGTTAGAATCAAGAACAAATACATTGTAGTAGCTTATAGCCTGTGTAATATACATATTTTAAAACATTTTGTTAATCAATAAAGCAAGCAATAGCAGAAGCTCCTGAGGGTAGTTATGTTTGCTTGTCCGTGGGAAATGTCACACTCTCATTTAGCCAGAACTACTGGAGGGCCACAATCAATTCAATTTACCATGCGCAGTTGCATATGTGGGTTGTTGTGACATGTTCTTTTCTCTTTCATGCAGGAGAATCTCCAGCAGTGGCTGACAGATGAAAAAGCGAGGGATCAGTTTGTTATTCGTGCTGGCACAGATACTGAGGTTTTCTGGAATGATGCCAGACACTTAAAGCCTGACCCTGTCTACAAGCGAACGGTAAGTTCTGCATGCTCATTTTATCTGATGAATATGGTGATCCATTCCAATTCCTTTTGATTTTTTTCCGTTTCTGATAAGGTCTTCTTGTTACTGGAAGTGCCTTTTTTATGCAGCAAGAGCAATTAGGAGAAATTAGTTTCCTCCCTTCTTATGGCTGCTAACTACACGAAAAATAGGAATAGATCTTAGAGAATTGTGTCATGAAATTGAACATAAATTTCCAAACAAATAATTATTGGGGATGTGTTCATTAGGTGTATGTTATTTTAGTGGTTGATTATAACATTTATCTTTTCTGATCATGATCCCTGTTTGCTTTTACAGTACTGGACTGAGAGTTATGTTCAGTGGTCTCCCCTTGGAACCTATCTTGCCACAGTTCACAGGCAAGGAGCAGCTGTTTGGGGTGGTGCAACAACTTTCAATCGACTTATGCGTTATGCACATCCTCAGGTCTTCCAAACCTTTCCCTTTTGTATGCGCGTGTTTTTATGACTAATTGTTCCTTTTTAATTGGATTTAGTACTTTTGAATTCAGGTTAAACTGATTGACTTCTCCCCGGGTGAGAAATATTTGGTTACCTATAGCAGTCATGAACCGAGCAATCCACGTGATGCAAATGTGAGTGGTTTCACTAATTGCCCTTTTCTTATTAGGCTTTTACTTGCAAGTTCTCTTTAATGTATCATTACTCTACTAATAATTTATTCTATTTTTTCAGAGGGTGGTAATAAATATTTTTGATGTAAGAACGGGCAAGGTGATGAGAGATTTTAAAGGGAGTGCCGACGAGTTTGCAATTGGAGGAGCTGGTGGTGTCACTGGTGTTTCATGGCCTGTTTTCCGGTACTTTTTTCTTCCGCAATTTCTGTTTTCTGTTTTCTGTTTTTTTCAGGTATGACTATCATTTTAGATAACAACCTAACAAATGCCTCTTTTCAATTTTTTTACAGCTGGGGTGGCGGGAAGGATGACAAATATTTTGCTAAACTGGGCAAAAACATGATTTCTGTCTATGAAACTGAGACTTTCAGCCTCATTGACAAGAAATCCATGAAGATTGAGAACGTGATGGACTTCACATGGTCCCCAGCTGATCCAATCATTGCACTCTTTGTTCCTGAGCTTGGTGGAGGGAACCAACCTGCTAGGGTTAGTCTTGTTCAAATTCCCGGGAAACAGGAACTGAGACAAAAGAACCTTTTCAGTGTCAGCGATTGCAAAATGTACTGGCAGAGCTGTGGTGATTACCTTGCTGTGAAGGTGGACCGCTACACCAAAACAAAGAAGAGCACATACACAGGGTTTGAGCTTTTCAGAATCAAAGAGCGTGATATCCCCATCGAGGTCTTGGAGCTTGAGAACAAGAATGATAAGATTATTGCTTTTGCATGGGAGCCTAAGGGTCACAGATTTGCAGTTATTCACGGTGATGGTCCTAGGCCTGATGTAAGCTTCTATTCAATGAAGACTGCTCAACATTCTGGCCGCGTCTCAAAACTCACTACGCTCAAGGGAAAACAGGCCAATGCACTCTTTTGGTCACCTAGTGGCCATTATGTCATCCTGGCAGGAATGAAGGGTTTCAATGGTCAGTTGGAGTTTTATAACGTTGATGAGCTTGAAACCATGGCTACTGCTGAGCATTTCATGGCTACTGATGTTGATTGGGATCCTACTGGAAGGTACATTTATGTTGCAGTTTTGGGTGGCATACATTAAGATTGGCCTTCATGCTGTACCCTGATCCTGATATGTGTTTGCTTTTCAGGTACGTTGCTACAGCTGTCACTTCAGTACATCACGAGATGGAAAATGGATTCAATATATGGTCATTCAACGGGAAACTCCTCTATAGGACACTCAAGGATCATTTCTTCCAGGCAAGTCCAGTGACCAATCTTTGAGTTTTTTTTTTCCACTTAGAAAAACATCCGTCTTTGATTTAGCATTTGCTAGAAAGTAAAAAACTTGTTCTCAAATTTGTAGAACAAGTGTCTTATCTTGGATTTCAGACAGTTGAGTTCATGAGATAAGCGATAGGTTTGTCAAGTAGTCAAAACAAACACACAAACCTCTTGGAGGCTTATTTTTGGAGAATCGTGATGGGAATGACCAAGTCATTATTGCTCTAGTTGTACATCAACACTACTGTTTGTTGAATCAATTGGAATCTAGATGCTGATATTCTGAATCACTGCGTTTTTGCTTAATACAGTATCAATGGCGCCCAAGGCCGCCTTCGTTCTTGAGTGCTGAAAAAGAGGAAGAAATTGCAAAGAACTTGAAGAAGTATAGTAAGAAGTATGAGGCGGAAGACCAGGATGTGTCGCTGCTGTTGAGTGAACAAGACAGGGAGAAGAGACGGTTGTTGAAGAAAGAATGGGAAGATTGGGTGAACAGATGGCAGCGGCTGCACGAAGAAGAGAAATTGGAGAGACAGAAATTGAGGGACGGAGAGGCCAGTGATGAAGAAGAGGAGTACGAGGCCAAGGAAGTTGAGGTCGAGGAAGTCTTGGATGTTTCGGAGGAAGTCGTTTCGTTTGAATAGAGACAGTAGATGTAGTCAGCATGTGTTTGCATACATGGGCCATATGCAGTATACCCTCGTTTGCTGTTTCTGATTCAGCTTAATCTTGTGTTTTTTTTTCTCTTGTGTTTGAACTTTGAAGACTACTGTTGTAAGGTTATTCAAGAACACATTGCTGCAAATCTCGTATGTACTTTTATGATGGCTGCTGAGATCATGGCTGAATTTTGTTTAGTTTACCGTGGCGTAAGATGTGCTGCGCTTTTGCTTTCCCTTGATGTGATCCCTATTTGATATTGATGTTCTGCACTGAGAGTTTAGTTCAACCACTCTTC